TCTCTCTCTCTCTCTCTCATGACACCCGCGCTGACGTGCACTCACGGAGTAACCGTCAAGTGTAACTGTGGCCTTGGCTCAAGCTCGAGCCGTTTCCGGAAGAGGTTAATACCCGAAACGCATCGCTGCGTCTTAGGGCTGGAGCGTGTCGTGAATGCTTCGAGTTCTCTACGCTTCGTGCGCGAGAGAGATCAGCCGGTTCGTTCGTATGTTCAGAGGCGCAACGACGCCACTTCTTCTTCTTCTTCTCCCATTTATTTTCCAGCTCGAAGGTCGCCGCGCGCTCGTGAACACCACAGACAGATAATGTTATTAAATTCATCGACCGTCTACTGAAACGCTGTGAAGAAGATCGCGCGACCCCCCTTCGTCGGCGTCTGCCCATCGTTCACGTTGGACGAATAACGACAATCGCGATAATTGTTCGGGGAAACGGTCGAAGTCGAATTCCCGTGGTTGCGCGGGATGTAGAAACGCCAAAGGGAAGACTACGTTTTCCTCTGTTGCTTCTTCATTTGATCTCGTTCTGATATTTTATTCCGCATTTATCCATCAGGCTCTTACTTGTCCATTCAACGGTAATTGATACCGCTTTATTGCAAAAGTCGTCCGAAAATAAACGAGCCGGCAACAGGAATAGCTGTGCCGCTAGCTAGGACTTGAAAGAGGGAGAGAGAAAGCCGAAGAACTGGAATATCCTACGCGCATTTATTATTTTTATCGACCCACCGTGTATATAACTTTTACGACTCCGCACTACATAATGTACCCGTTGCCACTTGTGTTCTCGCATACGCGCCACTAAATTCTTACGTAACCCGGTAGCGGTCAGTAGTCTCTATCTCCGTGTTACCGCTCAAGGTTACGTTGGACTTTCGAAATCTGACTCCCAGTGCGACTCTCCGACTCGCCCAGTCGAGTGACGTGGATTCGGAGGCCAAGGCTGGACTCGCTCTTGCCGCCGTAATCATTTGCATCATCGTGCGCGTACCCTCTGATTTTCCAAGCATCAAGAGATGCGCCTTTCTCGTTCAACCCGCCCCGCAACTCTCCGCGTCAGGATTCGTGAGTCCAAATCGACTCGATTCGACTCGACGCGGTACGGTTTGTCGGTCAATTAAAATCCAGTGGTGGTGATGGTGGTGGTGGTGGTGGCCGGCGGTGGTCGCCGGACCGCGCGGCGAACGCATGTCGGTGAACGTCCGCGGGGGGTCGTCGACCCGGGCCGACCAGGCGGTGGAGAGGAGACCTTCTTCGCGTCCCGGCACGAACAAGCCACCACGCCGTCGTCTTTTGCGCCGCGAGGCTTGCGGCCTTGATTCCAGCGTGCGCTGGGAACGACCGGGCTGTGCGCGGTCATCCAACAACGAAGACGACGGCATGTGTCGTCATCGGGCCTTGAAACCGAAAAGGCCTTCTCAACTCTTATATTATGTCAGATTGTTCCCCTTCGAACTGCTGCGTGGTGCACTCCGTATCGCAAAAGCTCTCTCTCTCTCTCTTTCTCTCTCTCTCTCTCTCTCTCTCTCTCTCTGGAGTCCTCCCAGACAGGCAGGCAGGTCGAAGCTCTCACCTGGCAGACTATTTTTACCCTTCCTCTCGGAACGACACTTCCCGAGAGAGCGCGTTTAGAGACGCGACCGTCCGCGCCTCGATCTGAGAAGTTACGTCGTCGGGCTCGACCTTCGCGCTAGACGTGAAGTTTCCAAGCAGATGGCCGTGTCACGAAGCTAAGCGCGCGTTTAGTCGGAACACGGCCTGGCCTGTGCGCGACTCGGCCTGTTGACATTGACCGACATTACAGAACGTGCGTTTAGTCGAGAGCCGCTGTTGGTACGCTGAATCGGGAATGCGGCTCGGGAGTTCTTCGCTTGGTGCCCGTGGATCGATTTCAAGGGAGAAAGTCTATTTCATAGACTCGGATGAAAGGAGTATTAGGCATTTACTTGTACTCGGCTTTAACCGGAACTCGATTCAAAATCAAAGCATCAGCAGATTTGTCCTCTTAGTCTTTCAATCACTGTAATTGGTTTTTTCTTAATTCCTCAATTGTGTCTATGATATTTTAGAAATTTTATTTCGGAAAAAATCCACAAACTTTAGCTGACTACTAAAAGAGATCTGTGCCAGGGAAGAAGTTAAGAATTTCCTCCGAATTAGGGGACACACTTTGACTTGCGAATTACTATGATCTTTACATCGAACATCTATGGTAGATCACTAACGGGGAAGTTCTTTTTCTTTTGCAGCAACTATTCCGCAGTCAGCCGCAGGGCGCGACACCTCAGCAGCTGCAGCTATTGCAACAGCAGCAGCAACAGCAACAGCAACAGTACTTGGCGGCATCGCAGGCGCAGCAGCAGCAGCAGCAACAACAACAGCAGAACTTCCCCACGGCGCCGTACACGGTCATCAGTGGCCAAGAACCATACGTGGGCGCGCTGATAGCTGGCGCACCACCACCAGTGGTACCGCAGTACTATGGTGTTGGTCCCTGGGTCTACCCGGCCGGTCTTCTGCCTCAAGCACCACCACAGGCGGCCGCGCCACCGCCACCAAGACGACCACTCACACCCTCATCGGCGGCGGCTGCGGCCGCGGCCGTGCAGGACACCGCGAACAATTTGGCACAGACGGTGAGTTCACGTAACGTTCTTGAGGATTTCTTGGACGATTAGCGCCAAACAGTTCGAGTGATTTGAGCTTTCGCACCTGTGACCGCATGAGAAAGCGCAAACAACTTACTGTAGACGCGAAAGTCGTTGTAATTTTCCAGATTTTTAGTTGATTCGGCGCGAGTGACTTGAACTTCTTTTGCGGTTGCGACCTCGTGAGAAAGCGCGGGTAACTTGCTGAAGAAGCAAGAGTTGTAGCGTTCGGGATTTCTACATGACTTCGAGTAATTCAAGTGACTTGAACTCTTTTCGCAGTTGCATCTCGTGAGAAAACGCGGACAACTTGCTAAAGAAACGGGAGTGGTCATAATATTTAACATTTTTTTTTTAATGATTTGGAGCAATTCAAGTTACTTCGACTTCTCTCGTAGCTACGACCACGTGAGACAACACACGGACGAAACTTGGCAATCAATCGTTGTAGTGCTAGAAATTTGCAGATAATGATTCGGAATAGTTCGAACGATTTGAATTGATGTAACCGGAAAAGTATAAACAAGTTGCAAAGATTATCATATATAAGGAAATGATTGTTCGGGCTAGGTAAATCGAGGTGACGTGTTTTCCAGGGGTTAAAAGGAAAGGACTAAATTTAGGGTAGATAGAGAGCTCGCGAATTAGCGCGTACGGCGAATTAGATGTGTTTCTAATTCTGTAAAAGCTATTTTCTCTTGCTTGCGCCTCTCGCGCGCGCGCGCGCGCGCTTATAGTCACTGATGATGCTCGTTTCTGCGCTTGACGTACGACGCGGTGCGGGCTTATTGTGCCAATTAGAGCCGCCACATTGTCCTCTTCAATCTGGCCGAATATTTCGCTACGAGTGACAAGTGGAGGGAAAAGGTGGGAGTGCGAGATTACCCCCGACGATGTTTCTGACCTATAAAATCGCGCGTGCTTAATCCGCGCATTTATGTCCGTTATGCTTTCGCGCGTGGGACAATGAAATACGTTTAGATAGGCAAATTTGAAGGTAAAACAATCAGGTAGACTGATGGGCTTTCTGACGATACAAGTACCCTTACCTCTCTTACTCTCTTTTATTGTGCTGGTATTTCTATTAGTATTATCCCTCTTTTTTTCCTCTTGTGACATATTTTGCCTTTTCATCTTCCTTAGATTTATTTCTATTTTCCGCTTGTTTGCTTGTCAGTGATGCCATCTTTCGTCTCCACTTCAACAACCTGCTTCGTACTCTCGTATTATTTCTTTCCGATCATCTAATCTCTTTTTCTTTATCCCCTTTTTTCTACCTTCTCCCTTGTAATCCTTTTTACTTCCTCCCTTTTCTCACTATCCTCCCTTGCCTACTCTTCTTTTGCTTTGCTTCGCCTTACTCTCTAACTTGTATTTCTCTTCCACTATCATTCGCTCATACAGACGCTTCTTTGTCCCAACCGGAAGTTTCAATCCGAAATGTAAAAATAGTATATAAAAATTGAATTATAAATAATATAGTTGACATATTCACGTAGCTGTCCTAATGAGAAATTACATTTGCAGGTTCAGGGCCAGTATCAGGTGATACCGGCATATTACGACCAGAACGGCTCCATCGTTATGGGAGGTATGCGCGGCTTGAGCTCGGCAGCGACTCCCATGAGATTAGTCAGTCCCGCACCAGTTCTCGTGAATAGAGCACCGTCTCAACCGCCACCAGGCCCGCCGGCTCCACCACCGGCGAACTTATATTCACAACCGACCCCGACGTCACACAGCAACGCCGCACCCGGTGAATGTCTCGGTGAGTCTCGCGAATAGATAATTTCTCACGTTTTTCTTCGTCAGCGCACTTTCTTGTAAACCACTATTGTAAAGTCGTGTGTAATATTTTGTAAAGACCTCTCCCTCCTACCCAGTCCCGTTCTCAGTGTAACACGTGTGTATTAATGCATGAATCGTGTCATCACATCCCCGATTGAGTGACAATGACGAATCATAGACGTGCCATCGTCGTTATATTTGACCGTTCGCTATCGTTCGACTTCTCTCTGTCTGTTCCCTGTAAATACTTGTGAGACACGTGCTACGCTGGCACTGTAACAATCTGTGACTAAACAAAGATTATTGACAGATTTGACGACATTTGCCAGCAAAAGAGGTGTGGGCGATAAAGCGGATGAAAAGTTTATTAGACAGTGAGAAGGAAAAGGCAAAGAAGAGGGTCGTCTATATTCACAAACTTTGATTTAATTCTCTAAGGTTTCACTAATGAAACATTTAGCTTGAATGGTAGTTTCCTTCTCATTTCTTCTCTTAATCTCTTTAAGAATACTGACAAATGCGTTAACATTTAGATACATACAGTTTTTTTCGTCTTTTAATTTAAACATTGTCAATAAAGATGTAAAAAACAGTACCAAATGAATAACTATTCACTACAAAATCTTATAAAAAAGGGAGATCTGGTAGATAAAATTACAGTCCTGACATCCTTGAGGAAGTTAGATTGTAGCATATCGCGTTTTCTTTGGTCACGAAGATCCGAATGCGAAATCCTTCTCCCTTGGGCGTCGCTAGAGCCGTTCCGTCATGCTACTACCTCTGCTCTCGAATAGACGATCGCGTGCGCACTGTCGAGAGTCGAGTGTGTATACTACTCTATACCTGCTAGAGCTTCTCTAGACGGTGTAAGGTGTCTCCCGTAACATAACGCTAATCACTTACGACGACTAAGAGAGCGCGTGTGGGTTTGCGGGCTTTTGGTGCAGGTCTGGCGGCGTGCAGTGCAGCGGCGGTGGTCGCACAAGCTCAGGCAGTTGCGGTGCAACAGGCGCAGCAGCAGGGTTCGGGTCTAGCCGCGGGTTTAGCGGCACTAGGATACGGCGGATCACCGCTCGGAGCATTGGGCTCGCCCGCCCAACTGCAGAACACAGGTACTATCGTGTCTACGATCGCTCTCCATCTTCTTGCGAGTCTTCGAGCCTCGACCTTGCAAAGAGAACCAACTCTTTCTCTCACTCTATCTTTTTTCCTCACTTTTCATCTCTGATCATAGGAAGCGAGAGGTATTTTTGAGCATCTCTCCAAACAAATATTGTTTGTTAACGAATCTCTATTTCTCTGAAACTACTTTGTACATAATTGCGGCGTGTACGATAACGGTGATCGAAGCCAACATACAATATCTCGCGCAGGTACGGATCCTTTCGTCAAGTATCAGATAAATCCGTATTTGCGTGAGCGATGAGTGTTATGTATGGCAACATTATCAGGTCGGAAATGGAAAAAGGAAAGATAAAATCATTATTATCGCATATCGTGCTTGTTCATTAACGCTAGTCGTAATACGGTAAAGGAACACAGTAAAGGAACAAGTGAAGCTCAACAGAGATCCGCGCAAATACGGGTGAATTTCCTCTTGAAACTGGCTCTCGCGATTCTCTCTTGCGACCAAAGAATTTCTTTCGTTTCTCTGTCCCCGGTGATGTATACGGATACTCATGTACAAAAAATATCACGTGATAATGTGTCCGTTGCATGCTTTCTCATGTTCTGATCACGACCTGTATTCTCGTGTATGTTGAAACGTCACTCAAGTCTCCTCCTCGTCCCTCTCACGGTGACGTGTCTTTTTTCCTCTCTTTCTCGTAGAACATTTGTGCCGATTTGTTGATTACGTTTGTGACCCGCTTGTTATCTACCACCTCGCATGATACTCGGCGTGTACCATTCGATAATCCTCTCGAGCACTACGTGAGCTAAGATTACGATGCCGTCTTGTGTGCAGGTTTAGGCCTCGGTGCGTCTTCGACCGGCAGACGAGATTCCTTTGATAGAAACACTTCAGCCTTCAGTCCGAGCTTGGAATATAGCCGGGCGAAGTGGCCTCAGAGTTATGGCGCTCTCGGTAAGGATCGTTTCTCTCGACGTGTTTTGTGGAAAATTTAGATCCTGATGCGCGCGCGGGACCGATGGGGTTACGTCCGGAAACGGCACCGTGTAGCGCATGCACATTCTTGAGTATCACCGTTTTTAGATGTGCTCCATCCTATATATATATATATATGTATGTATGTACATATATATATATATATATATATATATATATATATATACACATATATACATATATATACATATATATATATATATATATATATATATATATATATATATATAAAATATATATGCATATATGTACACATATACATAGACGGCTGTGTATGGTGCTGAGAATCGCCATGAACGTTTGATTAACCCAACATTGTACATTGTGCCTATATAATACGTCGTAGTTGATTTGTATACGTGCTTTTTTGTACTCATGTAACTAAAAGGCTATGGTAACAAAACGTTCACCCTCCTCCTACGAGAATTATTGCTAACATGTAAAAAACTAAGCTGTGTCGCGTCCTGATGCCTGGAGAGAGTACACCTTGATAATGATGGACGCGGAGCTCAGCGTCGTCCCGCATCTGCAAGGACGACCGGTTGGAGGGACGCGACGCAAGCATTGTGTGTCACTGTAAATTCTCGTAGCGACTTAACCACACGGTGCACGGGATTAGAAACCTGTATATTTTGTACGTCGTCTTTGTGTACATCATTCGCGTTTAACATGATAAGAATATTCTCAGTAGCCTGATAATAGATTACAATGAATATCTGTGATAAGATGTATCTAAATTTACAGCCAAAATATTTTATCATTTATAATGTTTCATAATGATCGTTTAAATCGATCAATCAATCTGACATCAGGTTGATGTAAAAATTGCTAAAAATTATCAACATTTAAAATGTGGATATAATTTTGTTTTTTCATTTTATTTAACTGACACTACAGATCTATGCCAACTTAATAGATAAGAAAATATTTGAAATATGTCTAATAAAATATGCCTATCTTGCTCATAGAATTAGCGCGTTATCTTCAATGTTTGTGTGAATAAACAGGAACAGTAACCGCATCACCGAGTCCGTTGGGATTGTCATTAACACCGCCGCCGACTCTGGGAGGATCTCTTGGCGGACTTGTTGGTGGCGCCAGCCGAGTGTCGGCTGCTCCTGGCGCAGAGGCCAAGTTCCGTGCAAGTGCAGTTCCTGCATTGACGGCCAATGGTGTCTTTGGCTCCAGCAGCTCTCTGTTCCCTAATCTCGTGGGCAAACCTGGTCGCGGAGGTGCTGCTAATATCAGCGACAAGAATGCTGGCGGAAGATCGCGTTTACTTGAAGATTTTCGAAATAATCGGTGAATGGAAACATATTCTGTGATAAGACGACAATTCAAAGAATTTCTTCGTTTCATCGGCTGACTAACGTGCGCTCTTTTCTCTGTACAGATTTCCGAGTCTTCAGTTACGTGATTTAGCTAATCATATAGTAGAATTCAGTCAAGATCAACATGGATCAAGATTCATCCAACAGAAGTTGGAACGTGCCTCGGCCAACGAGAAACAACTCGTGTTTCAGGAGATTCTTTCCTCTGCATATTCCCTTATGACTGACGTCTTTGGAAATTACGTTATACAAAAGTTCTTTGAATATGGCACTCCAGAACAGAAATCTACTCTTGCTCAAAAGGTAAGGATCCTAATTAAGTCTTTTTAAAAAAGAAGGCCGAATTTCGTTGATTGAAATCCGAAAAAGAAAGTCACAAGAGCGTAAACGCGACTATAGATATTATATTTGTAGTAATAGATTATTCATACATTTGTTGAAAAATGTAATATAAATCAACTTATTTCAATCTCTTTTAATTCGTATCTCAGTATCAAATATATTTCAGTTGTATAATTTACTGTGACTTTACACTGACCGTACATGACGAGGCACTTTGCGTGTCATCTGATTCTCAACGTGATTACGTATCAAATGGTCTGATCAATTATTGCGCGAACCCCGTTGAAAGTGTCTCCGTATGTTCTCGTATCTTATGTTTCGTTCGCATCAGGTTCGCGGGCACGTATTACCATTGGCCCTCCAAATGTATGGCTGCAGAGTGATACAAAAAGCACTAGAGTCGATCGGTCCGGAGCAACAGCAGGAGATTGTACGTGAATTAGATGGGCACGTATTGAAGTGCGTGAAAGATCAGAATGGAAACCACGTTGTCCAGAAGTGCATCGAATGCGTCGAACCGCGAGCTCTACAATTCGTGATCGGCGCATTCACGGGTCAAGTTTTCGCCTTGAGCACACATCCTTACGGCTGTCGCGTAATCCAGCGCATTCTCGAACATTGCACTGCTGAACAGACACAGGGTATCTTGCAGGAACTTCATGCCTCCACCGACCAGCTTATTCAGGATCAATATGGCAATTATGTCATTCAACATGTGCTCGGTAAGAACATTTTCAAATTATCTTAGTTTATATTTTAATACATTTATATACATTTATATTACATTTATATTTTAATATACATTTATATTACATATATTACATATTTCATATAAAATATAACATATTTCATATTTATTTTATATTTACATGTATAATACATACAGTATGTGTCTATACACATACACACACACACACACACACACACAATATATATATATATATATATATATATATATATATATATATATATATATATTCACATCTCTTTATATACTAGATAATTTTATTTTATGTACTTGGTATCATGACGGCACCTGTGCCATTTAATTCATACTTTATTACATATTTATCATTCGTCCTATTAAGATAATGAGTTACTCGTAGTAATAAAGATACTTATCTTGTCATCCTCACAGAGCACGGAAAGCCAGAGGATAAAGCACAATTAATCAGTAGTGTCAGAGGCAAGGTACTCGCTCTCTCTCAGCATAAATTTGCGAGCAACGTGGTTGAGAAATGCGTGACTCACGCAACTAGGCAGGAACGCGCTATATTAATCGAAGAAGTGTGCGGCTTTAACGACAAGTGAGTGCATTTTTATCAGCAGACTTTATCGATATCGGTGACACCACTTCTAAGCTTTTCTTTCTTTTTGTTTCTGCCGTCCAACAGTGCATTGAACGTCATGATGAAGGACCAGTACGCCAATTACGTCGTTCAGAAGATGATCGACGTTGCGGAGCCAGCGCAGCGCAAAGTACTGATGCACAAGATCCGCCCGCACTTGGGCAGTCTGCGCAAATACACCTACGGAAAGCACATAATCGTAAAATTGGAGAAGTTCTTCATGAAGACCGCTTCGGCGATAGGAGTGGCGACGCCAGCCGGTGGATCGACGAGCGGCGGCAGCGATCTCGGCCCGATCGGACCGCCGGCTTCTGCCGCTGGTCCGGTGTCTACGCAGACGCAGGCATCCACGCAGGTTTTATAAACACTCGCGCGCGCGCACGATCTTTTTCTCTCCGTTGCGGGAGGAACAAACAGCTACAGTGAGAGAAACGGGAAGAGAAAAAGAACTCTATACATATTATATATATACGACCTCCGCACGTCACCAGACATGTTTGACCCTACTTTACTTCTAACGAGATCTGTTGTTTTACCGTTACGATCACCGTCGACGGAAAAACGACGAATCTCGATGATCCGTCGCTTTCTCGTTGACCCGTGTCCTCTGAAGGCAGAAAACAAAAAGAAAAGAGAAAAAAGAAAGAAAACGTTCGAAAGGAAGGCGAGAAAATGATGACTGACACGCCGCTTCAATGACAGGAGAAATTCGCGCTAGGTGTAATTTTTCTTATTTTTGCAATCGCGGTAATCCACGAAAGCGTTTGTACAGTGACGCGCGCCTCCTTGGTACCCGGGCAACGCGAGATCGGCAACGATACGGCGAGAGTCGCTCTCCAACGGAGAGAATATGAAAAGGAGCGGTCTGTAAAGAAACGAGGAGTAGGGATGTGATACGTGCAGTACATCTTTTTCTATTGTTAATGGAAATCGAAATGCGACTCCCCTCGCGTAGCAGAAGTGTCGCGTGTGTAACACGGGAAACATACGCGACTCGAGTACACGACACACGAACACACACCGTGGAGATTGCATCCACGGTAAGATGACGACGGGTCTCGCGAAACTAATCGACTTGACTCTATTCGATCGAATTTTGAGTTACATACCATGACGACCAACGTCGACGACGACAACGACGTCGAGCGGCGAGGACAGCTGGCCGCTCCGTCTCGTCGACGGACCGAGTCGAGCGAAAAATTCCTCATGAAAAACTAACAAGTTCCCTCACGTAGATCCGTCGTGCTATACTATTATTATTACCGCCACTTCGAAAGGAGAATCCGTCTGTTTACTTTTTTCTCAAAGCAGTCGCTCTCAGTCGGCTCTCAATTTATTATTATGATACGTACATGATTATTCATTGTCGTCTCGAACCGACGAAGACGAAGTAGAGTGAGAAAGCTACTGTTATTATCCCTTTGATAGCGAGAGCGCGCGAGAAAAGCGGAGCATCTCTGTAGAGTGACGGATATTAGACGGACGGATAAACATGCACGCACGCACGCGCCGGGTGCACATATGGTCGAGACGGCACGTCGTGCCCGGCGAACGACGTAGATTCTCGCGAGGACGGAAGAATTAACAGACAGTTTTTAGACAGTTAGGTCTCTTATTAGTGCTGCATGCATTTATATCGACTTGTAAACGAGAGAGTTCGCGTAAGAAAAAAAAAAAAGAAAAGGATGCGAGAACGCGCGTGGCGCGCGTGATGACGCTTCGATTGCGCGCGTATACCGCGCGCCCCGCTTTCTACTGCTACAACACCCCCAGAGTCCCCTTTACTTACGCAGCCGGCTGAAAATTTTCTTTCCTCCCCTTTGCTCTCCTCTCCCCTGCCTCTTACCTTCTACTTCTTAATTATGTTTTTTTATTTTATTTCTCCTTTTTCTTTTTTTTAAATTAGTCGTTTACGCGCGAAGTGGTACTACGCACCTGATCGGGACGAATTCGCGACGAGTCCGCGCGCGACGCAACGGAAACGTGAGTAAAAGGGTGTGTTTGAGAAGTATGCAGTAGCGGTTAGGAGTTATAGATTTGTTGTTTAAATGTAGCATAGCTTTGACATGGGAACGATGAAAATCGGACACCGGATCCTCCCCCAACCCTCCATCCACTCACTCCTCCTTCCTGCTCTGACCTCTGACGATCATCACACGGTCATCTATCCTTTGCCCCTTACCCAACCTTCCCGAGACTGCTTGGATACGTTCATATACACACAAACACATACACATTCACTTCCCACTCCTTATACACAACACACGACATATACACGTAGAGAGAGACCGATTATTTCGTTGTTCGTTTATTTTCTTCTTTTTTTTATGTAGAGAGACAACCTTCGAAGATGAACAAGAGAAAAAGATTTTGTGTTCTTTAGTTTTTTTTTCTTTTTTCCATTTCGCTTTTACTTTTGAAGATGATTATAGATGACACGCAATCATACACGTACACGTATAGAGGGAAAATAAGTGAAAAAAGGAAAACGGACGAAGAAGTAAGCAAGGAGAGACACAGAGGCTATTTTATAAGCCGCATTCTCCTCTATGTTCATTTTATTTTCTGTCGTTATTACTCTTTTTGTTCGTTGCCCGCGATTAAAGGAACGCGTGTTTCTTTTCTACTCTTATTTCCCTCTTATTTCTTTCTTTTTCTCATTTCCCGAATTCCCCCGGCCCCCTCCTTCCTTCACTCCCCATTTGAGATCCTCGAATTTTGTAAATTGTGATATAAATAAATAACAAATGTGTATAGCTACGAATATCCAAGACGCGAGGACCGTATAAAAATTCAATGAATATTTTATTTTTCACGGGAAATCTTTTTCTCCCATTTGCCCTCTCTTTTTTTATGGAGTCTGTGAATATTGTGTATTATAATAATTACTAATTATATTAAATTTAAAATATGTTTACTTTCTAACGCTGCTGCCTTAACCGATAAGTTACACTCCTTTGATCCCTCCCTGTTACTTTCCCCGTTGCCTTCCCGCCTCCCTCTTCTCTCTCACTCTCTTCATTCATCCGACTTTGCATTTTTTCGTGTATCCAATTGTAAAATATAAACATTTCTCATGGAGTCATGCTAGAAAAAAATTATATATATATGCATATGTGTACATATATAAATGTATATATTATATATTTATTTATATATATATGCCATATGCACATACATATATACATACATACATTATATATATATGTAAAGAGAGAGAGAGAGAGAGAGAGAGATATCTATATATATATAAAACAATTCCTCTGTCCTCGTCCCCTCCAATATCCTCATTTTTTAAATAATTTGCAGCTACCGTTTTTTCTACGGTGATCTTGAAATGTAGAGACCATTGTACATTGTATAAATGATAACGCGTTCTTCAGAAAAACAAAAGTATCGGAAAATCGTGCATAACGCATGTGTATCTATAATATTTTCGCGCCATTATCCTCTCTCCCTTCTCTTTCCCCTTTTATCTCTTTGGATATATACATACACATATATATACACATATATAAATATAAATATGAATATAAACTCGACACACATACACACGGAGCATTTCAATTTGTAATATATACTGACGGTTGGAAGTAAAGAGGAGGAGGACAGCGCGTTTGCAGTTGATTTTTAGTGGAAGCACGCAGCTTCTCACGCGGAGCTAACGCGGCATAAACAGACAAAAGATCCTCACACGAGGAGTCTCTTTCTTTCTCGGCTTAAAATTTTTATCGTACGCACGATATCTTTTCTCTTTTTACGATCACGTCGTTCGGCTTTCGCGCGCGCATTATCGCGTAAGTTTCATCGTAGGTTGTTTCCGCGCGTTATCACGCGCAAATTCACAGATGACTGTTAACAGTCTGTAAGCATATGCTCGCGGAAGGAGGGTCTCGTTCGTTCGGTGGTTTGATTTCGACCGCTTTTTAGTTCGCAGATTTTGCGATCGACGGAGGAAACGTTGAGATTACGATCGAGTTGTGCGCCTTAAAAAATAAAGCTCGTGTATAATGTATGATATATATATTCCGTTATTAAAAAGTAGTTGTTAAATATGTAGAAACCACATAAAATGGACGAGTACGGTGGGACTCGCCGACAACTCGATTAAACCCAAACGCCCGTCGCGCGAATTTGTACAAAAGAGAAAAAAGAAATAGGTAGGCAGGAGGGTGGGAAGGAAGGAAGAGGGAAAAGAATGTAGCAGCTTTCTTTGTAAAATATTGTAAATAACGATTTATTAACGAAATTGACAAATTCCTAGATCACACTTTCTCTCTCTCTTTTTCTTAGTTAGATGCGTAGATCGCTTATGTTAAAGGTGGGAAATGGACGGACGGACGAGTGCGCACAGTTTAAACGGTGGTGAGAATCTACAGGAAGATTTTCTCTTCAAGATCTTTCTCTGCGCTTCCTCGTGAGTGCTGCGTAGCTTTCGGCGCTGCTTCCGACTCTGAAAATCGTTGAGGACGTGCGCTCTCGCTTGTTGGCATTACACGGACAGAACATATTAACAGAGAGAAACACATTCACATATGCAGACACACGATGAACCTCTCTCTGTCTACAGAGACCAGACATTCCAACCGCCAATTCATTCTAAGTTGACAAGACACACACATACAATACACAGACACATCACCGTATACCCTTACGTATCGTTAAAACGCGAATTATCTAGGTAAACCGCGAGAGACGCGAGACATTGTTTATAATGTTTAAAGAATGACTAGAGAAAGAGAGAGAGAGAGAACATAGTTCCTTCATCCGTGTGTAATAAATCGCGTGCGCGCGTATCATCTGTAAATTAATCTGTCGAAAAAACCGCGCCTCTCATCTGTAATAGATCCATTTTCGCAAACCACCAACCACCTTTACCACCAGCCACCTCCACTATTACCCACCATCGTCACAAATCACACCTTCACCAAAACGTGAAAACAGAAAAGTGTTTATGTAAAATTAAGCGAGGAGGTGTTAACAAAACAAGAAACAAATGTCGAACGCAAAATCTCTCATGTCTTATCAGCTAACGTAAGATTATCAATGTTCTCTATCATATATAGTTTTATTATTACTCTATGATTATTATTATATTATAATAATTATTATTGTATTATTATATTAGCGCTACATTTATCATATGGTCGAATGTATTGTTTGATTAACGCCCCCTACCCCCTACCTCCCCCTCGAGTCCCCACTATTTGATTATTCGTTTTTGCTATTCACACACTAATCGCTAATGAGCCATATGTAAATGTATGTATATGCATATATAACCCGCAAATATATACATATATACACATGATGCATATGCATATATATATATACATATACACATATACATATACATATACGCATGTAAGGCAAGAAGCACACGTATGTAACGCGTTTATAAATACGGTATATAGCATATTCGAAGTACGTTTTTTCATTAATCTTTCCAGTCGTCACACGTTTCTCTCCCCACGCCCTGTGATGATTACAATGATGATAACGATGATAAGGATAACGATAATGACGATTATGACGTGGACGATGAAAGAAAAAAAGAAAAAGAAAGATAAGGAAAATCTCCATCTCTCGAATTTGGTATGAACGTTTAGCGGTAGAATCGCAATTACCTTAGCGCTGTCGTCTGATGTATATCTACTTAAGGCTACCCCTCGTCCCAGAGAAGGCAGAAAAGAAAATGAAATGAAACTTCTTATCGATTTTTATTGATTATAAATAGTGTAAATTTTTTATATAGCGCGCGAAGAGAAAAAAAAATATGCGACACCGCCGACGACGAAGACGTGGCGAATATACCCGCGAGCGAAATGCGTTTATTATGTGTAAAGATAAAAACAAAACTAAACACGAGGATAAAACAAACCCATGGAAAGAAACGGAATAGTGAACGATGAGATTTTCATACACGTACACACGTTCAGTACACAAGCTCTCGAATCTTTATTCGCTTTATTGTATCTTTCGTCATACTCACTTAACTTAAATACACACACACATACACATGTATTTCGCTTCCTAAGACTGGATTACAAGTCACGTTGAGCGAAAGAGACACCGAAAAACTGGGCCTTCGCCCAGATCAAGGTTAACGCCGCCGTTTTTGACATTGTTGTTGTTGAACATCGTGATTTGTAAGCCACCTGTCATCTCAACGTGATAACTGTCGTACGTGAGAGAGAAGTGAGGACAAAGAACAGAGAGAATCAATGATCGACCGATTTGCGCGTGAAGATATCTTCACTACTCTCTCACAGCACGAGGCGGTATGCGATAACTTGGCGTGTAAGAAAGAGTGTAAAGCATGTGGTGGAAATACGGTTAAATCTGGAGGAGAAAGAGAGATTTCGTCGACGAGGATATCGCTGTATAGCAGCACAGAATTCAGTGCAAGAAACTTGAAAAGTATTTGAGAGAAGCAACGAAGGAAAAGGCAGTTTTGCGAATGTCGTTTCATGTGTGGTCTTCAGTTGCTGTTGAACTTTGTTTCAGAAACGCGAAGAGCCGATTCGAGTCTATCGTAACGCGATCCAATTAGGGATTGAATAAAATAGCGCGTAATTTTTATCTGAATCGAAACTAAATTAGAAGCGAATTAAAGTCGATCGTTAACATGCTTCAGAATCTCGTAAATCCCAACAGTAGTTTAGATCTTAAAGAGTCTGATTAGCTCCTTAATCGATCAATTAAGGCTTAAAATTATACTTGCAAACGATTAAACATATCTCTAAAATTTTCGAATACTTTAACAATCAGTAAATAGCCATAAAATTAACGTGATATGTAACTTTCTTTTTTAATCTAATTTCCTATATCGTTATTCTGTCATATTAATTTTAAGATTATTTATTGATTGTTAGAACAAAAAAAAGGTGGAACCTTCTTGGACGGAATATTTTAAAAATGTATTTAATTGATCGCAAGTTATCTTGTGATTATATCTTTGCGAATATCAAGGAGCCTTAATTCTTAATCAGAAATGTAGAGGATTTTCTCTAATCTCTTGCAAAAAGCACCGAGTTCGATGTGTACAGCGATATCACGCGTCGAGAGAGTGCAGCATCGCCGTGATAAAATTGTATCGTGCAAAACAGCTCTCCGTTTTTCTCTCCCACCGACCCTCGTCTCTCCAAACACATTTGTACTTTTCAGGCGTCCTTCACTCTTTTCACCGCACTGTTCCCTCTAATACTTTTTCTCCCTTCCCTGACTTCTTCTTCTGATCCATACATCCTCTTTCTGCCTATTCTTTCCTCTCTATTCTTCGAGAATCGATGCGAAAACGACCGTAAGGCCACTCTTCTCCTCACCGGGACATAAAACATTAAGGAAAACAATTAAGCAGCCCTATAAATATTGATTATACATATATATATAAATATATGTATACATATATATATCTGTATATGTATATCTAAGCCTTATCGGTATGATATATATATATGTAATAAGTACTATTTAAATATTGTAACAATTGTATATGATTTTAATATACTACACGCTAATTGTATTATATATATATGAAGGATCTGCGACATCCCACTTGTAGACATATACAGACGAAACATACAAGTGTCATGACATGTACACACCCTCAACATACACGCGCGTGTATACTCCACACATACAGATAGATACAAACTCCTCTTTCCACACAGCACACACACACACATACACACACGTACGTAAGATATTTGACATGAAAATACGTTGCACATGATACATATATACATCCACAAATACACGTATACGTATGCACATACATACGCACGCGGTACTACATGCGACATACTTTCGCGACAAGCGATTGTGCAAATCTCCGAGAGACAGTCGGAGGATCGATTTTTCGAGGCAGGTCGCGACACATGTTGATATCCGAATGCCCTCATCTCATTCGCCTCACACCCACCGGATTCAACTGCCACGGCGCTGGTTTATGAACAGTAGTTGTTTGCTTGTACTCGAGAGGCATCCGCCTTTTCTCGAATACTGTCGGCCTCGAGGAGAGCGCCGTCACGGGAGATTGCAAGTTACGCGAAATGCATTCCTTCTGTTTCCTCAATTTTAATTGTGTTTTCTATTTTCTGTTGCGTCATTACTGTTTTTGAGATTTATCTGTTTTTTTTTCTTTTTTCATTGCGTTTCAGGCGTCCATGTGATTTAATATTTCGTACGTTTAAACGATAATCGTTGTCGGAGTTCGGCTTTTAATTTCTATTTGTGCGTCTTTTGTTTATCGGTGGATTTATACAGGAAAACTCGCGGTGTGCACTTGCGGACAGATTGCTTAAATTTTCATAAATTAATACAACTTTAAATTTTTTTTTAAGACGTTCACAAACGCTTAATAAGATCTCCCCTGTTTCTTTTTTCTTTCTATCGAGGCCGGCGATATATAAAAAAAAATCGCAAAGAGGGATAAGCAAGAGAACATCAGCGGGAATGGTGCGCCCTGATATTAAGACTGATGTACAGTAGCGCGCTATTCTCATCATTTCATGATCATCCTCCTTCACCTGTTATTTCCCCTCCTCCTCTGCCGCTGCATTCTCTGCCTTTTCCTTCGACACATGCTTACACGCACGCACGCACGCCCACACACACACACACATGCACACACACACGCACACATACACACACCACATTCCCGTACACTCTCACACACAGAACACACACCGAGCGAAACACACAACACAACAATACGGAATCGCAGGGCTAATTAAGTATATATATATTTCGTATATATATATAGATACTAATGCATATATATATTGAATATATATATATATGTATATCGTATATATTTGTCTGATATATGTCATATATGTATGCGTACACTTGTTTGTACATCACCGGCTCCTATAGCGCACTTTCGAGCGGGACGTTACGCGCGAGAAGATGTATCTCTCGAAATTTGAGAAGATGTTTCTCTTGAAATCTGCGAATTTATGATTCACGTGAGATTTTCAGTCATAACGGAAAACACGAATTCGGAAACGCGAAATTTTCTTTCTCTCACTCTCCGTTCGTTCTTGACGGAAAGACGCACGTCCTCGCCGAAATACCCGCGCGAAGTGAGCGTGATCAATGTATACGGGCCGGTGGTAACCGTCTGAGACACACGATAGATGCAGAGGGAAATAAAAAAAAAAAAGCAAGCAGTCGCAGAGAAATATATTCCATATTAGCAGATAATTAGATAAGTGGGAAGACGGACAGGCATATACGGATTAAAAGAAAAAGGAAAAAAAAGAAAGGGAGAACAAGGAAACAGAAAAAGTGGGAAAACGAAAAGGCAAATTACATAACTTGTATATTAGTGTATAGAAAAAAAAAACGTAGAGACGATGAAATAGCCACGAAGAAGACGAAGGGGATAAAAAAATACGGATCATTTTCGACAATGTTTTTTACATACAGAACAGTGCAAGTAGATGAGAAAAAAAGAGAAAAAAACAAAACGTGTCATTGTACCATTTTAAGCGGAAAAAGAGGAAAGAAGGGAAAAACGACGTGAACTAGAGAGCATTTTTATTGTCGAGGGCGGGAAGATGTATTATATTAGCGTGGATCCGAAAAGTCTTTGTTATCCTGCCACTTCGAAAGATGTGTACAGGTGAAAAATTACCGCGTACATACATATCTCCCTCCCCCAGATCGTTTAAAGAAGAAAACAAGAAAGAAGAAAAGAAAAGAGAAAGGAAAACCGTTTGATTTTCCGCTCAATCGCACTTTCGAGTTCGGCAAACCGAATCACCGTGAAACAACCGTTCGATCGACACTAAAAGCACACACAAAACGCTACCATTGTCGCTTCCGTTGCATTGTTTTTCGTTGTTGTTCGATCTTTGTTCGATTTCGTTCGTCGTTCGTTTCGGAGCCTCCATTACTGCCACATGACTTAATTGCAACGCGCTCACTGCAGAAAACCTGCAGATAATTGACCAATATGCTCCTCATTAATTCCACGATCGATTTGTCCTTTGTTATTGGTTGCTTCTATAGATTTTTCACGTTAACGAGGACGAGTGCTGAAAAACTACCTAATAATTGGCAATGTAAAATCATTACGTCGATAATTCTCTATTGGTTTGTCATTTATTTAAACGAGGAAGTCCAATAGTTGAACCGTTACGATTTGTATCTTCTATTTCAGAGAGAGAGAGAGAGAGAGAGAGAGGTAGAGAGAGAGAAAGAGAAAAAGTTCTGATTTATCAATTTAGATTTTATTAATTAGATTTCAGACTTATCACTCGGGCTTACCAATTAGACCAATTAGACTCGGGCTTACAATTAGACGAAAGGCCGTTGAGTTTTCGTCTTTTTATCCCGTAATTTTATTCTCTTCCCGGATCGATGAGAGGAAAACCGATAACGGGAAATCGCAACAATGCGACTACATTTTATTCACAAACAAATAAACACACATACATACGCGTCCAACACATAGGAGGAGACTAGAGATTACAAGTCTATCGAGTTATTATTATTACTTTAGAGTCGTCTTGGTAGCGGCGTATCGATACAATTGATAAAGTAAATGAAGTTACAGATAATTAATTAAGAGAATCGTTTGTGTGCATATGCTGCGATTTACGACGTATATTATCCATAATTATGATAAATGCAGTGAACGAAATAACCAATCAGTCAATCAGTAAGTTGAACTAATTGATTGGCTGACTGATTGAGATTGATCGGTCACGCATAATCACGTACGCATAATCGCTTGCGCTTTATCGCGTTTGAGTTTCCTTTCTTCATTTTCTTTCCTCGTTTCTCTTCTCTATTTCTCTGTCTGTTTCTCTTCTTTCTCGTTCTTTTTCTGTTATCTTTCTTTCTCCGTATGTATGGCACATACCTACTTTTAGGATCTTATTATTTTTACGATATGTAGTCATCTCTCTTATTCTCGTGAAACGCGCCACACACTCTTCTCCTAGATTTCTAATACAAATTGCACGTAGGGCGATCTACACTCGTCATAATCGGGAGGCTCGTCATAGTCTATACGATAACAAATAAAATTAAATAAATACGTAAATAAATTAATAAAAATAAACGAATAATAATTATCGTACGCGCGTCAGAGAGGACGACCGTACACACGCGTGTGAAAAAAATTCCGTATAAAAAACTCCTGTCCCTTCGCTCTCATTGACTCTCGATTGTATATTCGGCGGTACAATAGAAATGTAAATCCGACCCTATATAAAAAATAAAACGAGAAACTTCGGGCGGTTGACCAATTCCAAAATCGACTATCATCACCTGGGAAATATATACAGCGCGGCGAGTAAACCGCCGCGAATTCCTGTCCGTGCGAATCCCACCTCCTAGCGGTTGACTGTACGATGCAGAGAGCCGTGCTGGTAGTTTGTGTTGAGACTAAAAAAGAAAAAAAAGAATAGCATTTCACTCTTCATAAGTAGGCATATCCACACATATAAACACACGGACACGTCGAAGTAACACAATTACACACGCACACAGGAGAGGGAAACGAAGAAATATAAAAAGAGACTCACCATAGTGACACACGCTCTCTATATACACAACACACACACATACACGCATTTAACGAGACAAAAAAGTAAAAAGTGGATAATGGATTAACGGTATTCTAAATGTAACATGTATATGATGGCTGTACAAATGTAACATTTTTTTCCATTATGTATGATGATAATAAAGATAATGAGGACAAAATACGGGAGATTTGATGCGAAAAGAGGAAATCGTGAGGGATGAAACTAAGAGAAAAGAAGAGAAAAAAGAAATTGAAAAAAAAAAGAAAATGCGAAAGTGCGCGCGACGGTGGAAAATCGACGCGGGAAAAATCGCGGCGACAACGACGCGACGATCCCGTCGACCCGTCGGCGCACCTGTGTGAGTGATTTATCAATAAACTACTATTACTTTTAATTATTATGAAATAACATTTCTGTACTAATATTATGATATAAAACCATACATTGAATGGCAATTCCCATATCTTTATCTCTCTATCTGTCTGCGGTGTTGCTTTCCTGTCCCTTGTTTTACGATAAAGTGATAATCTTTAAAAAATTTGTATTTAGAAGCATTGAAACATATAATTATTTAAAATCGGGGTCGAAGAAACAGAAATGAAATGAATAAAACGTATTAGGTCGGTGGGAAAGGTTCGTCGTATCTGTCAAATAAGACTGAACGAGATTTTTTTTTAACCAGATTGTCCACAAATTGGAAATTAATGAGGAAATGCGACGAAACATTAGCACCAAACTAATAGCGCCGAGTTTTTCAAGAACAATAATATATTGTCGTAATTGTTGCGAACGCAAATACGGCGACTCGTTCTTAAAAGTCTCTAAATTCTCGCATGAGATCTCTTTATTTTTGGATACATTGTAGCAAGCGTAGTTCGATAACATATTGAACAGTGATGACGAATGGCCATTACAACGCAACGAATGCTCTACACGCAGGCGGTTCTTTCGACAAATAAACGTTCCTTTGCAGGATGGGTCGCATTGTTCTCGCGAAGAAAAATGTAATTACGAAGGAGCCGATGTATAAGCAACGATTACAAATCATTTATTAATCAATTATATACACGACAGTGTTAACAGCACAAAAACATAGCGATATCTCGTGGATTTTTCTTTTCTCTTTTTCAAAGCATACTTGCATCTCGACAGTTTTCTTTTCTCTGAATACAATTGGGATTTCAGGTATAAAACATTTTACACTGGTATTCGTACTCACGCACGTCTTTTTTCTTTTCCCTCGTATAGATTCCCATTAACACTTCCGCTCGGTGATGCTACTCTCTTAAGATGAATCAGACAAAATATTTCTAACTGAATTAATGAAAAGAGTATTTCACCGACAAGTGAGTAATTTACTGATTTTCAGTGGAAATACTCTCACTTTACTGTCATATCTCACTGATTTTAATCAGTGGAAGTAAGATTTCACTTCAAAATTTGTAGTATACAAATTCGTTACGCGTTATGCCAAATTCAATTTTTTGTGTTTGTGGAGATGGAATTAATGTTTTCCACGTAATTTGCATGCATGACACTGTAATTGCAAATTATATCATTAACAGGAACAGTCGCCACTATTAACTGATTTTTTCAGCGAAATTTTACTGATTGCAATACTATACTTATAACTAAGCTATCAGTTATAAGTATAGGATTTCAGTGAAGAATACACTGATTGTACTTTAGAGAGTACGTATGCTTCTATATATGTCTTATTTTTATTAAACTCGGCATACCAAACAGTTAAATACATCTCGTATAAAAACTATTGCAATATCTTACGAATACATAACGTAATACAATATTTGTTGGCTCTTTCGTTTTGCCGTTTTCACTTGTTTCACTTGTTGGGCGCGTTATCAACGTGTCATATTATTGGCGAGTCTGATCGTGAAGAATACACATCTGGAATTCACATTGACAATTAAGATACCGGATAAAATTTATTTTGTCAACAATTTGTGTGTGTGATTGTGGGAAAGTGACGTTTTACGACTTCGATTTTATAATTTCTCGCATAATAATTCACCATTTATTCGCGTTTATTCTTTTCACACAGATCATTGGCATTGAAAAGATGCAAAGAACGTCTTGCAAATATCTGCCACCGAATCCAAAGTAAAACGTCATTTTAAAGCAGGTTCCCCCGTTTTAACCACGCGTTCTATACGTTTTTTTTCCTTCTTCTGTCGTATAGAAGAAGAAGAAGAAGAAAGGATATCTGTCTCGTTCTAAACGAGAAGCGCAGCTAAAACTGACATCTGTGTACCGCCTTCTTTGTCTCTTCTTCTCTCTTTCCCTTTCGTTCAAAATATGACTACTTTTATAAACGTTTAAATCTCATAAGAATCTCCATCGCTGGTTATTACGTTATTTCTACGTACGATGCGATACACGAAACACTTTTCACATTATCGGTATGTCTGTGTGTGTTTGAGTGTGTACTTATATTTTATGTACAGTATACGTAATTCGTGAGTCCTGCGTAAACGTGACTCCGGTTGCCGAAGTCCTTGTTCGAAATCAACGTTCGATTCCTCATCAAAATTACTAACTACGCGACGTCACGTTTCGTTTTTCACAACAACCTCAATGACGGCAGTATGACTGCAAATGACTAGAAGCGCGACCCGGAAGTCGGTGGCCGTCGCGTCGTTTCCCGCTTTACTGGTCTTCTCGCTTAACGAGCTTATTCTTTGACTAGCATAACGTATTAAAAATGTTATTTTTCCTCGTTTCTCCAATTTCTTTTACATTAAGGCCCTTAGTCACTGTCCTCCGTGTTTCGCGGAGCGCAGGTCAACGGTCGTCGGCTGTCTTCGTCTGATCCGTATATGACTTCCTCTTCCGAATCGTTAAACATCGAAAATGCAGGATTATCCTTCGTTATGGATGAGTCTGTAGGATAAACACTCAGGTTAGTGCAATGTATCTAGTAGAAAGCTTTTTTTCTTCAATGATAAAAGTTTTAAGCAACACTAAGAAATATCATATATCAGAGAAAAAAAAACAGATATTCACGTTGTCCATAGACTTGCTGGAGCGCAGGTGCGTAAACGTATGCCATGGTGTACAAGTAAAAATTAAGAAGACCATAAAGGGCCATGAACTGTGCGGATGTGCGGTAATAGGTAGAAAGGCGTGACGCAAAACTGTCTTCCAATACACCGGCTCCGAACTGACGAGCGGTGACCAAACTGCAAACGCCAGCAACTACTGCGGCAAGCAACGTCAGGAACCGCAAACGAAGATCTATAAAAATCGAGAATATATATATATATATATATATATATATATATATATATATATATATATGTGTGTGTGTGTGTGTGTGTGTGTGTGTGTGTGTGTGTGTGTGTGTGTTTTATTTACTAATAGATATTTTTCCTGTCAGTATATATTCGTTTCCTCGTCTCTATAAATTCTCTTTACATTATGCTGACGCAGAATTTATGTTTTGCAGATTTAGAGGAACATGAAACGGTAAACTTACCGAAGTATGGCATAGACCGTAATTCGCTGTACGCTCTTAATATGAGAAGTAGCAAGTACGCGATGTAGAAGCCACCTATTGTGAAGAAAAACACCTTGAAGCCCTGGAAAAACAAATGCATCGGTGCGACGATACGATGTAATAAGCGCAGACTTGTTTGAGCGAGTGTATTATAGATGAATAAGGAGCAGTGGCAATTAACTCACGTAGTAATTAGACGTATCGAGAACATAATTGTAAGTGGGATCCTCCAGTTCGGTGCAACGAAGCCATGTGGCGAGCGTCAATGCTGCGCCCCACAGCATACCCACAACTAAGAGTTTAGGCAGGTAAAAGGTGATGAGTCGTCTTTCATTCTAAACAAAGAAGACGAAACGGATGAGAATGTACTAATAATGAAATATAATAGAATTAATAATAATACACATCATATATATAATTTCTATACTGAGAGAAAAAAGTATAATATATACGTTTTTTTTAATAGATTAGTCTTGCTATCTCTTACGCTTATGTACATCAATACCTGTCTGAGGCCGTGATAAACGCAGAGCCAGAACATAAGAATGGCGCATAAGAAGGTGGTCTGTAGAATCGCATCCAGCATTCCAGGCACCCAGGAGTTCACCAAGAAAGTCATAGGAAACAGTGGATCTACCAGGTGAATTATTTGAGAACGTGATTAGACGTTTAATGAAGTCGAACAGTGATCGCGACGAATACGATGCGGCATTTACTCACTATTGTAGAGAATCAGCAATGGAAGAAGTATGGAGATCCACTTCTGCTCAATCGACCAATCGTGTAGCGGATACTTCCTGAGCGAGTGGCCGAACCAACACTGAAAGCGGTAACGTTAGAAAGTATTTTGTAATGAGATGCCGTTTTGTTTTTGTTTTTTTTTAAGCGCACGACTAAGGGCGATTGCGAATTACCATCACTCCGAACGTGGTAAGTAGAAAGATCAGCCGGAACCAGATCTCGATTTGCGTGAACGCCGGATTGTAGTTCTTGAACTGTGAAGGAATAAGCAAGAGGAAAACGTCAAAGGAGAACGAAAGGAGCGAAATCTCGAATGTGCGATATTGTTTTACGTTCAATGAGAGGTGGGGATGATCTCGTGCAGTGCTTACTGACGTAGAATGTGAGTTGCCGTATCGTGTAACGCTGATGGAAGCTCTCAAGTCCGTGGAAGCGGACAGTGATGATGTAGTAACTGTAGTCGAGAAAGCCGAGATGAGCGACGACCAGCTCTTCGCAAGTTTGCCTCTCGCATTTCAGATGTCTGGTTCTGGAGGAAAGTTAAAAAGAAAATGTATTGGTTACGGCGACGTTTACTTCTCGTATTATTGCGTTAGCGGAACTCAAAATAAGCGCTACAAACTTTCTTAAAGTAAATCAGTAAAAATGTATCTGACTGAATCGGTAAAAGGTATAGTATTTCTATGAAGAACACACTGATTGTATTTTAGAAAGAAGTCCTCACCGATTATGTCCAGCTTCCGGCGATAGCACAGACACGAGCTTGCGGTTGAGAGTGATACCGTCTATAGAGACGCTAACTTGAAACCCCTTGTCGTATCTCTCATCTGCAAGACGTGCAGTTAACAGTCTGATATAATTATAGAAATCGATCAATCAGCAAAATTACAAGAAACAGATTGTGTACTTTAGTATCACATAATAGAAAAGAAACCATTAATGAAAATTTGACATGATTCGTTTACCGTCGTTGTTCGATGTCGATAGCTTGGCGATCACCCACAATTGCTGGCTGTACGTGGACAATAGAGGCGTCTTCATGATGAATGGACCAGTGGCCATCTCGCTACCGTTCAGATGTGCCTTCTGTTCGCTAGTTGATGTTATAGGTGGACCTGTAAAGCGTTAATAAATTAGCAAAGTGCTTTCTTCGCAGTTATATATAATAATTACAGTATATTATATAATATAAATTATAATATATACACATACACACATACATATATGTACATATGTGTTTGTATATATATATATATATATATATATAATGATAAATAATCTGGTAATAATTAAATACTAAATGGTAATAATTGAATACTAGTATTCATTGTTTTTCTGTGTGTATGAGCGGTGAATAAAGTTGCTGTTGATATTCTGGGCGAAACATTAATATCGAATCGAAAAATAGAAGTAGGGAAAATCGTGGGTCAGTTTAATTTAGTGAAAATTACTACTCACCGGCGAGGCCGATAAATACCGCCAGCCCGAAACACGCGAAAAATGCGACGAACACCATGACAAATTCCCTCTTGTGCATCGAGTACAGGCGCATTTGCACAGATCTGCACGGCAAAATATATCGTGCTTAGTTGACATTTTACACATATCGCATTTGCTGCGCATTTGATTGAGAAATAATTGAATAAATGTATCTTGCTGCTCTCGTTCGCGCATCTTGTCGGTTCCATGCACTATTAAATGCGTATGTATTAAAAGCTTGCAATATCAGAAAATTATTCTTTAAGGAGCCTATAGGCACAAATTGCATAAAACAAATCTTGATGAAAGCACCTCTTTTTACTTGAAATAAATTCTGCCATCGAACAGAAATAAATTATTGTTCGAAGAAATAGTATTCTATCTGATCTAGAAATAGTATTCTAATCTGATAATTCTTTCGAATTAACGTACCTCTCGCAACGATCATGATGATAAGCTGGCGCGATATATTTGTTAAATTCGCTGAACAGGTCACTGAATTGCGACAGCGCATTTCTAACCTTGAGGTTCCAACCAGCGGATGGAAGGTGATACGAATATCCTAATCCGGGTCCGTCCATCATTTTCGGGATTCTGAACAGAGTGGTTTTGCATGCATCTCTAATGTATCTGATTGCTATTTCGTATATAATCATAATTCTGATTTTACATTACATATACATAATTATTTTTTTATATACAGAAGATTCTTTCCTCCATAAAAAATTTAAATCTGCATTACTCTACTGTATAATACTAACAGCTCTGTTTAACAATTTCGAAATGCCTTATATCTGAGCTTACTGTCTAAAGAAACAAATATTATGCTTCATTCGCGTGATACAAGACGAAAAAGCAACTTGATCAAACGTGTATGCGTATACTTATTTCATTTCTCAAAAGTTACTTCCTCGTCTTGAATTTTATCCAAACGATGATTCAGTCGCGATCATTTCGTTTATCCGGATTTATCACGCATAAGGTGCATGTAAACAGACAAGAACAGAGAGGAACTCACGTTCTACTTTACTGCGTGGTAACAATAGATGCTACTTCTGTGCGCACCCTCGACGAATACCGCTCCCCAACATAACGTTCAAGATTCATGAGCGATTCCACGCGGACGAGGTGGTACACCACTAGGCACATGTAAGGGAAAATTCGACGTAGCGTTGCACGTAAACTGGCGGCAGAGGTGTGGAAAATACGAGACGCGACTGCACAGGAACACGAGCGGTACACACGTCGAGCATCGTGACGCGCAGCTATTGATTTTTCTGTCCGCCATATGCTCGTTGAAGGGGGTTGTGGCGACACACACGACGTGAAGCAACAACCCGCAGTATTTATATCGCCGGACAAAAGGATTTCACGGCGTTATACGTAGTATTTAGTATATATGTACATAATTGTAATAAAGACTGCCTGTTTGAGAGGTAATGCGGAATCAAATCTTACACGTCCACGAATGGATATATTCGTCAAGACTGGATAAAGGATCTGCGAAAGGAAGAAAAGGTTTGAGAAGTGCGCAAAAAGACTCCGTTTAAAATAATTTCATAATTTATAGATATAAAAAGACATTCGTACTTTGTTTCTTTTTTACAACATCCATATCTTCTTTAAACGATACACTAAATATATACAGAGCGTTACAACCGATCGTTCAGTCCCAATATTTGATTTTGCCGTCCCATCCAGCTGTGGCGAGTCTGGAAGGTTCGTGCGGATGCCACAGCACGTCGATGCACACTCCGTCGTGCGCTTTCCACTTTTTATATAATTTTGTAGTCTTCCAATCCCATATGTAACATTTGCCATCTGCGTCACCTGATACCAAATAGCTGAAAGCAGAAAATTTGTATTACTCGCGAGAATGAAATGGAACGACATCTAATCTGATTTTAATAGTTTGATCTTCCTAATAGTTCATTCTTAATAGTTTGTTTTTCTGAATATTATATAATACCTCATATCCGGGGAGAAATCCAAGCCGCACGCGTATCCGGCAACCATATGCCCGGTGAATGTCTTTTTTCGGTTCATTTTGAATCGATTCAGCGCCGAGAAAATGACAATCTTATTATCCATACTCTGACACGCGAGCCACTTCTGATTGCGGGACGGTGTTACAGCCGGCATCGAATGCATTGAAGGATCAGCAATATATTTCATATCGACTGGAATATCCCTGTATAGAAGAAGAATTCGTTCTTAATAGCAAATCGATCTCACTGCACGAAATTATTCGGCGAGAGTATATACAGAGTAATATACAGAGTATATATATGTATATATATATATATATATATATATATATATATATATATATATATAAAATCTATATATAGATTATATATAGAGTAAGTTTCGTACCATTCCCAAACGCGAAGACTTTTGTCGTCCGATGTGGTCACGAATCTGCGATTTTCATCCACAAATGTGATGGTGTTCACAGCGCCTAAATGTCTGTCGTACTCCTGTGTTATTTCACCGGAACGTATATCCCACTGTAATATAGTCAATATATTTCCGTAGGTTTATGCAAGTTCATATTATATACTATATAAAGTAGGTTTTTATCACACATTTATATGGCTTTCACGATACATACACAAATGATTTTCTTATCACTGGTGCCAGCCACGAAGAGATGCTGCTTATCTGGATCGGGATTGAATTTGGCACAGTACGGGATCTTCCTGCTCGTGAAACGACTGATGCAAGCTCCAGTTTCTGTGTCCCACAGTTTCACATAGCGGTCATACGCCGCAGATAAGAATCGTTTGCCATCGTTGTCGAAGCTTATATCGCGCACTGCCTGCCTATGTCCGTAATATGTACGAACGCATCTTCTGTCTTTGTATACCTCCCACAACTGCACACAATAGGATATTTTAGCGTACCAAATTTAAGGATATGAAAAATTTGAAGAAACTACCAATGCAAGTGAAAATTCGTTGGCGTTATGTGATGAACAAAGCGAATTACCTTCACTCTGCAGTCCATACTGCAAGACAATAATAAGTGCGCGGTACGAGGAAACCAGCGGATCTGCGAGATGCCCTTCGTGTGGCCCTCCCATGTATGAATTTGCGCTTTAGGTAAGAAGCAGCGGTCGGGTGGCGATTCTGACCTGAGATTTACACCGACATCCTGCGGCGCGTGCAAGAATGAACGTCCCTGATAATCCACACTGTCTTTGACTGCAATATGAAAATTATGTTACAAGTAAATCCCGTGTTTGTGAAAAATTTCTTAAGATAAACTTAAAAATTATTATTCCAACATTAATATTGTATAGTTCTTAATAACAAAAATATATTATATGTAATTCTTAATTTTCAATAAAAAAAAAAAAATTAAAATTAATTCTTAAAGATTCTTTAAGATTTATGCATCTTATTAATGATAACATTTATTCATTTTTAAGATATATATCTTAAAAATGATTTTTGTGTTAATATATTGAATATATATAAGATCTTACTATGTAACACAGTCTTCTCTTCTAGCGGCTTTTCTTCCGTCTGTTTGCCTCGTTTGTTACGTTTAGCCAATATTTCCTCCAACTCAGCAGCTTCCTCCTCGCTTGGCTTCACGACTCGCTTCTCATCTATATATCCACCCCATGGCCCCAAAAAACCTTCTATATCCGCGGGATTGTTGTTTCTGTGCCGTTTCCTTTTATCTGACGGTCTCAACGCAGTATTCTCAAAGACAGTCTTACCGCCAGATTCTTCTGCTGCTTCTTTCGCGCCAATTATAATTTTACCCTCTTCTGCACTACCATCCACCGTTGGATCTAATGCGTATCCTGAAGACAAAACAAGATTCAGATATTTTATGTATTAATGTTTCAAGTTAATGATATTTTAAGTTAATTGCTATACTAAGTTCTATTGATAGAAGATGAAGTCTATTTTACACATCATTAAATGATAACATAGCAGATTTTTATTTTAATTTCATCGATATTTTACTAATTTCATCGAATTCTAAATAATATGCATTAATGCTATAATAACTGATTGTAATCAATATGTGACTAATACATGAATTGGTACTATAAAACTTGCATTTATTCAAAAGAAATTAAAGAAAAGCTTTGTCAGTAGTACAAAATATTTGTTACCATAACTAGCAAATGTTCTTCTCTGATTTTCAAATTGGAATTCGCTAATGTGTGCACGTTCCACATATCCAGACAGCATATTCTTGATAGCACGCTGCTGTTGGGTCTTGAATGGATTCTCTGGTCCTACATCTGGTGCAAAGAGCTCCTCATACTTTGGATTGTACATAAGTTCCTTTGTGGTGGAATCTACATGCCTCACGCATAATTCTGTTCCCTATAATATGATAATCGAAAGTTAAAAGATTAAGATCGATGTTGTGTGTGTGTGCGTGTACACTATATATTTATGCAAATCTATTTGAGTAAAAGAAACAAAATTTATACAGATATATACAGATTTATACAGATATTTACAGTAGGCACAACATCAGGCGCAGAACAGATTTGCAAACTAATGGGAGTCTTGAATTTATCAACGGCGAACGGTTCAGATGTAAAATCGGTGTTTGTGCTATGCTTAACTTCTTCATCCTCGACATTTGTGGAAGATTTTTCACTCTCATGCTCACTATCCTCGTCGCTGCTACCATAATCTCTTAACGCGAGCATGGTATTTGTAAAGTTTACGCAAACGTTATATTATACTTGTCGTTATATTGTATTTGTTCCTTCCTTCCTTCCTTCCTTCCTTCAATATTTGGCTACAGGCCTCTCTAAGAGTAATGCCCCAACGCCAGTTTCCGATTAATGATATAATTCGAGAGAAAAGTCTTGGAAATTTTCAAGACACGATCCAAAAAAAATCACAAGGTCCGAACTTGTTCGAACATGTCTTGTCGTGACGGCGGTTAGGCCGGGACTTTATATTGTATTTGTTATAAATATAAATATTAATAAATAGCGCGTACAAACAACTATTCTCTTTTTACGTGAGATCGGTGCGAGAACACTACATATTTCTTCTTTCCATTGGCTGCATTCAGTAGACTCAACAGTTGCACAACAGTTGAGTAATTTGTCAATGTCTACGTTTACACGGCAAGGTTAATTCGGTTTAGTAACTACCATAGTTAGTAAACTATTAAATCCGATTGGTATATTCTTTTAGATCTAGAAATATGCTCCAATTGAATTCAAGAAATCACTAACTACGGTAGTTACTAAACCCGATTAACATCGTCGTGTAAACGTAGCCAATGGCCGCGTTCAGTAGAAAAAGCGCTCAGTGAGCAATCAACGATTATTGGTTCTTGCTATTAGATCCCTAAATCTAGACCAATTACATTGACAAATTACTCAACTGTTGAGTCTACTGAAAGCAGCCAATGGCCGCGTTCAGTAGAACAAGTGATCAGTAAGCGCTCAGTGAGCTCTTGCATCTGATTGGAGTATAGTTGGAGATCTAAAAGAATATGCCAAATCATATACAAGAGCTCCCTGAGCGCTTACTGATCACTTGTTCTACTGAACGCGGCCAATGTAATTGGTCTAGATTTAGGGATCTAATAGCAAGAACCAATAATCGTTGATTGCTCAGTGAACGCTTTTTCTACTGAATGCGCCCATTCGCACTATTTATATAGTCAGCTGATTAATGCCTGTCTACCAACTTTGATTAATTTAACCAGCTAGTCATTTAACGGCAACTTTGAAAATAAAACATTGTCTTGCTATTGAAATGTAGAATTTGATAATAAAAAGATGTTTGATTAGTCGTTAAGTCCTACTACTTGGAAATGCAAGTTTCCTAATTTGTTGGTGAATCGAAAGTATATCTGACTTGTCGTCGAGTTGTACTACGTTCCCGATTTTTTAGTAGAGACAGTGACGACTCGTAGCGGAGATCTCCAAACTAACAAGAAATAACGAGTCTAATATAATACAAGGAATATAAGCAACTATTAGACCCGTTATTTTTGTTAGTTCCGAAATCTCCGTTACAAGCCGCTATTGTCTCTACTCAAGAATCGGGAACGTAGTACAACTCGATGACAAGTCAGACATACTTTTGGTTCATCAACAAATTAGGAAATTCTTGCATTTCTAAATAATAGGACTTAACGATTAATCAAACATCTTTTTATTATCAAATTCTACGTTTCAGTAACAAAGCAGACGACGTTTTATTTTCAAAGTTTCCGTTAAATGACTAGAGGCGTTTTTTTCGTTTCGTAACTACGGTAGCGTTTGTTATAGCATGTTCGACTGGCTCTGTGGGTTAACCCACTCTGGGTTATTCAGCCTACGTTTATTGGTCGAACAAGTACTTATAAGCTTTATGATTGGCTAGTAGAGACTTATGACGTCATTAATCGCTCTCGGAGCGATTAACCCTGAACCAGTCGAACACGCTATTAGTTTGATCCACTTAACGCTCGCAACGCCACGAGCATCATTTTATTTTTGGCTGCGTTCAGCAAGAAAGCTGCTTTGCAACTGTGTAAAATTCGTGAATCTGATTGGTACATGCTCTTGGATTTAACCAAAATTAAGAGCATACTCCAATCAGATTCACGAATTTTACACAGTTGCAAAGCAGCTTTCTCTGCTGAACGCAACCTTTGTTTTTCGAGACGTTGCGAGCGTTAAGTGGGCCAACCAACCAAACAGTTTCGTGGTCACGAAATAAAAAAATGCCTTAGCTAGTTAAATTAAAGACAGGTATTAATCAGCTGACTAATTTATAAATGAGAAACGGCGACTCTGCAGTTTTCAAATTTATCTTTCGGTAAAGCTTTAACTTTGTAAGCTAATTTTTACTCAAAATACGATAAATATATTTTAAAAAAGAAATTTTAAATTTTCTATTCATATCCCGACGAATGTTAAGCCGACTCGTTTGTCTTTTATAGGTGATCAAATCTAGCCAATTTTGTTTCAACGTTGAATAACTTGGTGAAAAAAAAATTACACTGCAATCTGCAAATACGCAATTTAAAGAGAAAACTTCATAATTTTTTATGTGCAAAAGCCAGTTGTGCTTGATTTTTTGTTTGCACGGTGCAGCTTTATTAGACAAACTTTATTAGAAATTTGACGGATCTTAATTTATATTCATATCATATCGTAAAAAATAAATAAACTTTATATTCTACAATATATCTAGAAACTCTTTAAAGACTCTCGTGGCTGTAAATTGTTGCTTAATTATTTCCTATTATTCTTACGAAAGTCGCAATCCGTAATCAACTATTTTTTTTCTTATTTGGTGATATGTCACAATGTTTTTAGCCTTCTCCGAGGATATTTATGGCCATTTAGCACATTGTACTCTTTTTCTAGTTTTATGTAATCTGTCAAGATTGCAGTGTAATTCCAATATTGAGCTAAAAATCACTTTGCAATCAAATTAAAACATTTAGCCTTCTGGACTTTGAAAATATCGAAGGGGTAATAAGTTCTTCAATCAGTTCTTCAGCAAAAGGATATCTACTTATCGTTCGTGTTATTTGTTTCTATCAAGAAATATCTTTGAAGGGAAAATTACTGCATATGTGTTAGTCGATAATCATTGCGTGTCCCGATTGAAACATTGATCTAACCTAATTTAGACCCAAAAATGTAAAGGTTATCGTCAGCTACCGCGCGTTTCTCAAGTTCCCACAGAAGACTACCACAGGTGACAAACCTAGGAAAGAGAAAACGCCATTGTGTTTCCCGATAAGGGATTTGTACGTACAAGAAAGAGAAAACTCACAAAAGACATCTTGACGGTATAGGTTAGGAATTGGAGTATAGGTTAGGTTAGGTTATAGTCGCGCACAGACTCAAGCATGTCAGGTAAAGAATCGAGCGACGAGATTCAGGTAATATCCGAGAAATTGCAGGCTGCCACGACGATCGAGCCAGCGTCGCACAGCGTGCAACAGCCCGGCAACTCCTGCAGGAGTTCGCGAAAAGGCAACAACAATGGTGCCTCGCCGTGTCACCCGCCCGTGGCGGACGACAAAAAGACTCCTTGTGCCGCCGGTACCACCACCAGCACCGCCGTGGATTATAACGTCGCGACGAGGAATTTACCCGAGCTCAACTTGCCTGAGAAGATCCTCATTGTTATTGACACGGTGAAGGAACAGCAATGCACTCCCTTCAAACTCGGCACAGGTGCCATGTATTCGCCGCTCTATATGATCAAACGAGCGGTCGAGTGCTTCGTCCACGCAAAATCCACCATCCAAATGAACCACGAATTCGCACTGATGAGCGTGGACTCGCGGAGCATGCATTGGCTCTGTGACTACACCAACGACACCAGGAGCGTGCTAGGCCATCTGGACAACATCGTCGAGGACGTGATAGACGAGCAGCAGCGTGTCTACGACCTGGATCAGCTATTCGAGGCGATTTACACTAAGATCGCGATGCCGTTGACGAAGGAGCAGGAGGCGCTGGCGCCGACCTTCTCGTCGCGCGTCATCCTCATCTACGGCCGCTCCAACTCGATTCCCAAGTTTTATAAAGGCCAGAAGTATTTGTACGATCTCACGGACAACCCGTACTTCTTCCTGGACGTGTTATTCGTGCACGAGCCACCTGGTGAAGACAACATGTGTGAGGAGGTTTACGCTGAGATCGCGACGTTGGACACGACGAACCTCTCGTACATCTTGGAGGTCGGCCGCAACGCCGCTAACATACACAACAACATGGCCAAGCTGTTGGCACACCCACTACAACGACCGCAGCAGAACGACGCTTGTTACACGCTGTACTCCACGCAGACTGCTCAGGAGGCACATACCAACGTCTAGTGGTCGTCAGAAGGTGTCTCCTTCTTTAGTAGGACTCTTGGCACTCTGACTGATGGTTCAGCCATGTTTCGTCGTGTATTGCTCTGGCCTGTATTAATAGTTATTAATTGAAACTCGTCTCTAGTATGATACTCAGGTTTCAATGCAAAGTTAGATGAGAATTTTTCAATTAAATCGCGCACGTTACACATTTAAAGGTCACACATTCTAATTCAACTTAGATCTAAGTCTGAATACAAATCTGAGTACTTCATATGAACCAAGTTTCAGGTGACGACTATTAATACAGGTCTTAGTCTGTGTCAGACTAGATATTGAAGACTGAGATTACTGGGGCCTGTATCAATAATCGGCTAAAACTTATGTTATATGGAAGATACTTGGATTTTCTTTTAAAGACAGATTCAGATTTTTTAGTTGAATTATATGACATTTGTACTTGTAATTGATTCAATTGAAAAGCTCTCCTTTGGATCTGAATTGAAATTCGAATATCTCACTTGAGACGCGTTTTAAGTAATAAATATAATAGTGCAACTGAGAACTCACATCTAAGGTTTATATTAATAAGTCGTTACTTAAAACTTACCTCAGGTGAGTTAGACGTAAGTTTCTTAGTTAAATCGCGACTACAAACATCACATTTGACATCTACATAATCACTAAATAAATTAGATAAATTATTAAAAAATTTAATAAATTATTAAATAATTCAAATGAAAAACTTAGATCTTTAAATTTAAATTTGAGTATCTTATGTATAATAAGTTGTAAATAATGATTATTAATATGAGTCTAAGTTTGAATTAAAATCAAAGTATTTCTTACTTGAGGTTGGGTTTCAAGTAATAATTATTAATACGGCTTGGGATTTGATAAATTAATTAATTTCGATCTTGGCAAGTCTTTCCCTAACTAGTCAAGTCAACATACCACTCTTGATCTTTTGATATTCAATTTAATATGGTCATTTTTGACAGTGACCCGCTTTGTCTGTGGAATATAAGCAAATTGCAATCTCTAATTTTCATTATCTATTTTGATACAGGCTTTACTCGATTTTTACGGAAGATCAACACGCTGATTATCGCCCTACGATTTCGCTTTAATGTCTTAATAGAAAAATTACCATTCATGTCGTCATACATTACCGTTTGAACTATCGAGAGGAATAAATAAAAATATTGTCTTCTGCCACAGGTTCGTAGAATAAGTCTTGCGAGCGAGCGAATTGAGCACATTGTGTCTCTTAGCGAACTGAGTCTCAAAAGTTTCAAAAATTTCTAATTTTACTGACACATCAACATTTCCTTTTCATGTATTTAACTGTGTTTTTTTCTTCTTTTATAATTTTGTGCTACTTGTAAAAGTTGTAAGCCGCGGTTCATTGTTCCACCTCCTCTTATATTACATTGTAACATCGTCCACTGTGTCACGCGCACCATATCGCCCTCGCTAACGGCTCTTAAAGCTGCACAATACACTGCTCCGACGTCAAATGTGCTGAGAACTTGTCCTTGCGCGCGAAGCTGCGTCCGCAAATGCGACAAGAGAACGGTCTCTCGCCGGAATGCACTCGCCGATGTCGCGTGAGATTGGACGCGTACGAGAATCTCTGCGAGCACTTGTCGCATGTGTACGGCTGTTCGCCGGTGTGTGTTCGCCGATGCTTGTTGAGATCGCCTGCGTGATTGAACTCCTTGCAGCAGAACTCGCATGTCAATTGGCGCCGTCGTCTTCTCGCTCTGTCGTCACCCACGTCTCCATCTTGTTCGCTCACTTCAGCCTTGTGCTGGAGCACCGCGCTGGAAGCTTCTCCGGGGTGATTTTCTGCGTCGCCAATTATCGTCGAATCGTCGTGGACACACGTCTTCTCCTGGACAATTGCCGAATTGTCGCTGGAGACACCTCGGTTGGTCACTTCCGTGTTCGGATCTTCGCTGGCGTGAACCTTCCTCGCGATTACCCCCTCGATAGGCAAACGCAGACCGGTCTTCTTGAAATAATTCTCGATCTTGACGATGCAAGGAGAACAAACTGTGTTCAAAATCTAGACATGAAAACAGAAGCGAGCTTTAACGTCTCCCTGTGGGAAAGATGATCAAGTGTAAAGGAACGCGTATGAGTTCCTCGATCGTTTCATCAAGGGAATTTTCTAGATTCATTACCTGACGTTACAAATACTGTTGCTGTAGTGTAAGATATTTTTTATGGCTTATAGGAATGTTAAGATAACTATATACAGTAAACAAATACATTGTACACATACACAACACTATACGGCACAATTCCCAAGTTATTTGTAAAGTGTTACGACAAATAATACAATAAATGTTACGATTATTTCATGATCAATTTCCACTGTAAATTTTTGTAGTCACGATGATAAGATCCGAATCTGGATCTGGGGAAGACGAATCTGAACAGCACAAATTTCTAAAACTCTTCTTTGAAGAGAAAACACTTCCATAAACGCAACAGCCTCAAATATCATATTTAAAAAGAGTAGAACGTTTTTAGATCCTAATAGACTTATATCAATAGTTGTTACTTGGAACTTTCTTTAGATAAGATACTCAGATTTAAATTGAGAGATAGATATGATGAATCCAAATAAAATATTAGCTTCAAGTAAAATCCTAAATTCAGATCTAAATATCTGATGTAAGACAAGCCTCAAGTAATGATTATTACTATGGGCCTTGAATTTCTTGAAACGTCTTTCAGAGGAATACGCTGTCCAGGAAACGAATAGAATTCAACTCATGAATCGCGCAAGCTGAACGCGGACGTGGACGAACTCGGCTGATGACGAGTGTAAAATTGCGCTTACGTACGATACATACCACAAACTTGAAATTCGAATCTCGCAAAAACGCGTGTGCCGCCTCGTCGTGGCCAAAGATCGGCAAGGTGTGCCTCTTGCAGCAGAAATGGCAGCGTCCTTGACCATGACATGACATGTCTCTGAATGTAATTGTTCACGCGATAATTATGTACGTGATATTTTTTCACCGAGTGGCCACGAAGTCGCGAAATTATTGCGACCGACCGAAAAGACCGATCGTTCGTCGTTGCTATGCGTCCGGCCACGGTTTTTCCAAACGATACCGCCTTGTGATGGCGAAGTGGGAGCGTCGTGTCGGGGAATACCCGATTGCTCGTATATTGAAGTATCGCCTGCACGCACACATACACATACACAGACACAAATGTGACATATGATACGCGTATGTGCATAAACGATTTGCAGAAGAGATAAACGAAGAGTGTGAAACGCCGGCGATTACTGTAGACGGTATCGAATTATACTGATCGGGATTGTCCGGCTGAATTTTGCTCGAGGAAAATTCGTGTCTCAGCATGATGAATCAACGGCGATTTTTTTTTCGATATGTGGAGTTTTATAAATAAATGCTTCATATAACGACGATAATGATTACGAATACACATACACTTTACATTTTTATATAGATTATATTACAAAATATATATTGGACATCTTTTTTCAGGGAAGATATCTGTTTTATTTGAATGTAACGTATCATTGTAAGATGTCGGGACCGATATCGATGTAATTTTGACGAACTATACTAGTAATTACTAATGAACTTCACGCTTCTTTTATTTGCGAAGAAGCGTGAGACAATTACTGAATATGTACAATGTAAGCTCAGTGAATTTGTATTTTTTTATTTCAAGTTGAGATGTCCATCTGCTTGCGAGAAACACCCCGTATGCTTAAGATATCCTTTGATTAAAATATATACGCGCGAACACATACACACACACACACACACACACACACACTATATACACACATACACACTCATATACACGCATACATATGTACATTGACTAAAAAGAAAAATATCGTTGCATACATTTTGATACATCCGTTCGACTGATAACACAATCATTATCTATTATGTTAGATCGGATGCTACAGTATGTACAATATATAGTCACAGTGATGTAAATTCACAGCGATGCATTTCCTGCGGCGATCTACAAGATATCTCGCTTCTACCGCATCGTATTTCGACAATTGACTTTTCGGACGACCCGAATACCGAGTTAATTTTCCTTCGATGCAAAACGCACGGCGAATTTGTGACATTACTCACCTTATTAACTACAAAAGACTTATATCGATGACTCGATAAAGACTTGTATCGAATAAATGGCGTTGCAACACGTCGAGTCCAGACTGAGGAAGTCAGTAATCTTTAGTGAAAGAAGAAAGTCTCAGGTGCAACCCCGATTTCGAAGCGAGATACTTTGTGACGCGCCGCAGCCGATAGTTAGATTATTATACAATGATTGCAAAGTACTTTCTATATCACAGTAATTAAGTCACTTGGTCATCCTCTCGCAGCTCGCATCGCGAGAAACATTCCCATGGAATTTCAGTCGAGCACGCCTTCAAATATGTCAGTTTCGTGTTTGTACACGGCGACGTGTGTGCAACAATCAAAAGATTTACAATGCGCGGATATCATATAAATATAATAATAAATATAGTATAAATTTCGACGTGAACATTAATATCGGATCAGTGCTATTAGTTCAATCTCAATAAATACTAACTAACAGTAATATTATATCAATATTTTAATTTCTTACTCAACAATGTAACTGTTACATATGTTATATTGCATTTACATTATTAAGTAAAAAATTGTAATTGTTGATGTTAATTATAGATAGTTGGTGTTTACTGAGTCGCGCGTATTCGTCAAATAAAATATAAGATTGAAGACGGAATTATTCAATTTCAAGATATTAACAATTTTCAAGAAGGAATTAAATTTCGTATTTTTTCAGACAGGAATCTTTGAGTTTCTTTTTTTAATACCCACATTTGCCGCGAGACTTTAAAAGAAAAAAAGGCGAAACCTTTGCATTGATCGGATGTCTTATACTTGAGTTATTTAGGTTCCGTGATTCGCGTCTCATAACGAACATGGACTGAACACGAAGCTAATGAGGCAAGCTAAAATGACCGGTAACAGCGTCATGCTCGATCTGTTCGCCAAGGAGGACTGAGGACGCAGTTCCCGTACAAGTTGCGATAATAATTTCAACAGGTGATCTATCGATATCGCGACTTTGACACTCGTCGGTGGTTCCTCAGTCTCGATCATTGCGGGAACCGTGTCGTTTACGGTTTTGTCGATTGAATCACTCATGTTGCTGTGATCCTGCGTCATTATCCAGTTACCACATTTCGGGAAGTTCGAAGGCACAGGTGGCATCTCCTCATGCTCGCCTACCTTGAAGATCAACGACATTCCGATCTCTGCGTGAAACTCAATGTGACAGTGGAACAGCCAATACCCTGGGAAACATATACAATTATTATCGACGTAGTTTCTTTTGGATTTTTTTATTTTTTATTTTTTTTATTATTATACTTTAGAAAAAATGACTCGACTTGGAAATGATGATCGATAGTCTTATCTTTCACTGTCTATTTCTCATCTTTATCCTCGACGAATCACTTTTCAGCATATGAAACATTTTTTAGAGTTATGCATATTTCGCGAAAATTTACAAAGCTACATATATTTTTTACTTTAAAAGAAAAATAAGAAACATATTTTTCACGTTATATATTATTTGTATAAAAATATAGTATTTTGCGCACGCGACGTTTTTTGTTGTGTTATGAATACACTATTTGTAGAGAAAGCGTCTCTATTATTTGCAGACGAATTAATTTGCTTCGCTTCTATTTTTTTTTAATAATATGCGCGCGTGTATGTGTGCCACAATGGATTATCACCTGGATTATTTGCGAGAAAGCGCACAATAGTGTATCCGCCGTCGGGTACGGTGACTGTGTCTTTCAGAGGTGCTCGTTCGAGCTTCCTATTTATCAAGCCTTGTCTCTCTAATTCCTTCACTTCAGCGACAGTGATGTTTTGTCCGACTTTTTCCATGGCCACCACGCGAAACTGGTAACCGTGAAGGTGGAACGGATGATTTGCGTCGAACGTGAAACCTGTAGACAATCATCGCGCTCGTTAGCGTCGGTGTGAAATGAAGCGTGTCTCGCTGTGTAACAGTATTATAATTAGGGTAACTTGCGAGTTACCAGAGACAGAACAGAACAGATAGAACTATCGAAGAACTTTCGAGATTTTTAAAATATTCAGTTTCTGGCGATTCATTCTGTATAACACGTTCAGAAATAAACGATAATGTGGGATGAATAATTATAGTAATTGAGTAATAATTACGAGAAGTCTGTACGATCATAGATGAGGCAAGAAGAGAGACATGTAAAAAACATAATTATCGGTTATACCTTCGTCTACCAGAACCAGTTCCACTACACTGTTCTTTTTGACTTGAAGTACGTGAGTGCAAGCACAAAAGTCTTTCTCGCATCCTTCGACGGTACTAGAGTTGCAAAACTGATCCGGCTTAACGAGATGTCTCTCAGGTAGCAGCGGGAACGAGGGTAGTTTCATCGATATGTGGTTCAATTGCGGCGTAAACAATCGCTGAGTCCGATCCCTTACTGAAAATGCACAATCAAAATATTAATTAATTGGAATTTATCAAACAATAATCAAATTTCAATTCATAGATAGAATTTTACTTATAGAAACATAATTATTTATTTTATTCATAAAAATTCTCATTAAAAATTATAAAAATCATTAATACCTCAAAGCTAAACAAATATGGTGAAGCTATATTTGCACTAATCTAATAATAATTCGAGTTTTACCTTGGTGAAAGCCATATAAGTTCTTGCGATGAAAACTCGGATTGTCTTTCCCATAGAAGTCGTACGATATGTAAAATTGATAATCTGGTTCTCTGGTGTTGGATTCGTCATCAGGGTCCATGGCATTCAATAATGGCATGCTGATGCTATTGTTCGACTCGGTCCCTTCGTTTAGAGCATTTATTTGCTGAAATTAAAATGACATTAAAGAATTCTTCCAAATTATCTTATTTTTTTTTAAATATCCTGTAACTATTTAATATAGAGTGGAAGATCGAGATCCGCGCGTTGAATACGATGATATAACGTAGTAAAATATTCTAATATACATACCAATCCATAAGAATCATTTCGTACACGATCGTACGAAACCTCAACTTCTGGATCCGCGTTGGGTGCTCCTTCGTAGCGCAATATTCCGACTTGGTACGCGCTTAGGAATCTCTTGTCGCAGTCCATCAGTCCACGGAATCGCATCCAATAATTGTCCACCGGCTGATTCGTCTCAATGATAAAGTCGAACCTCTCGCCGGCGTAGCTTACCAGAGATTCGCCTGCGATCATTTACAAGAAGATCGATCAGTACTTGTAAACTTGTGCTCTGCTTTTCGTTTCCTCTTCGATCTAAATCCAGGTCAGGATTTTTTTCCTATTTTAGACCTCGATTTTTCAATATTTGTAATTTATTATCTACTTTGATGCAATCAATTTGACTGCAGATTTTACTTTCTGCTAAAAGCCTTAAATTCTGTTTAAGTTAAAATTTTCAATTTTTTTGGAGCTTTTAGCGAGAGATTTATTTAACTTATTTTACGATGTACAATATTACTTGTGTGTACTCACGATTTATTTAAGATAAGAAATAGAAGCTCAAATTTCACATTAATTAAATCTATCACAATTTATAAACGTTGGAAAGTTGAGGTTGTAAATAGGAGCAAGATTTCGACTTGCAAAGATGAATTCGTACCTTGCACCGGTTCGATGTCACGTCCATCCGTGCTGACTACAAGCAAAGTATGATTGTCAACTGAAACTTCTATGGGGCAGTTCAAGAACTCCGCGTTGATAAGTCTGAATCTATACCGGGAATTCTGCGAGCATAAATCGCAAAATCGCATAAATCGCAAAATTCGATAACATAAATTTGAGAAAATCGTAAAACAATACATTTTGCAATACGTGAAAGATACTAGATGATACCGAGTATGCTTTGAGTTTTGCTTCCGGTCTTTCGCTATCCTGCGATCTCTCCCGCGATTGAAACTTACCGGTTTCACATCGAACGTCGAAACAGGCATGTTGGCAAGAGTCTCATTTTCTTTTATGGTTGTGTAACGACCCAGACCGTTTATTATAAGATTCGGTGCTTTATTAGTGCCGTTCGAATGATGATGAGCCAAGAACATGCTATCGCTCAGTTCGTGAATCCAATCGGCGACCACCAAAGTAAACTCGTCGAAGTCGTAAAGATCCTTGTGCCAATCCTTTGCGGGTGGTACGCGGACGAGCAACGGCCCGAACACGCCGTCGCCTCTTTGAAGTCCTGCAAGCAAAAAAATACACGATAACATTTCTTCCAAATTATTATCTGAGAAAGATCTTTAAAAATCAAATGATAATTGGATAAATTATAGATTAATCAGAACGATTTTATCGAATATCCATGGTCTGATTTAATAAGTCTCAATCTAATTAATTTATCAACCAATCTAATAATTAAAAAGCAGATATTTATCGTTCAATATCGAATAAGTTTCATAGTGCATAACAATAGGTCCAATTCGACAAAATAAGTTCGAAGTTCGATTTCGTCATGTACCTAAGTGAGAGTGCCAGAAATGCGTGCCGGCTTCGGTGGCGATGTACTCATATCGGAAGGACGACCCGGGTGGAATCGGGCACTGCGATATGTAAGGTACACCGTCCATGTACGGTGTGGCGATGTGATGCTGGCCATGCCAATGCATCGTGGTGCTCCCGGAGTGCAGCATGTTGATCATGTCTACTATTATCTTGTCGCCTTGGCATACCTGCAATCAAAACAAATCCACCAAACTATCTCGTCAATTAACCTATTTGTATCCAGAAGCGAAATAATCCGCACATAATATCACCAACCGCGATAATACGCCTATGATGACGTTCAGTTTTTGTTAATCTAGTACAGTCAACTTACGTCTTCCGAGCAGTAAATAAGCTTTCAGTGCATTATCAGCATATTTTACCTTTTTAATTGATACAGGCCGACTGTCAGTTGAACATCTCCGATTTTTAAAGTTGGTTGCGTATTTAGAGCTATGATACAAATGGAGCTATGATACAAATGGAGCTATGATTAAAGGAATTAAAGCTGGAATCGTGACGGTTGTGCGACACATTATTTTCTGGTTAAATACCCGTCATTACGACGAGGGACAAGTTAATGGCTACTTAATCATAGTATATTCTTGGACTCTCATGCCGCGGATATTGATATTCTAATAGCCGTAATGGTACTACAATAGGAAAAAGAACGTTGAAATGAGCAGGTGAAAAACGAATCGAGAACGAAAGAATGAACAAACAGAACGATTTCGCGCCCATAATCATATGCTCATTAGATATATCTGCGAAGACACATGATGCCTATTAGTAGTGTCGGATATAGATCTGCGAGTGAATCCCGCGGTTCCTGATATCATTACACAATTGCGATGTAAAGCGGCTGCAATTATTGCTAATTTTAGCGTAACAATGTGAACAGAGCCGTGACTTTCCTGTTTCAGTGGGGATTTCAGATTGATGTAAGAAGGATTCGTCATTCCTTTATTGAATTTCGACTCGTGGCAAATTAACGACTTGGATATTAAGGAGAAAACGGGAATACCTGATTGAGCGTTCCCGTCAAATGTAGAAATATCAAATCGATTATTAATTCAATCGTAAAAATTATCAGCTACTCAGAATTTGGTAAGAATTTTGTTATTGATTCAATTCGATGGATATGAGAAATCTTTCAACACGTTAAAATCAATAAAGGGCTGATCAATAAGACCGACAATTACATAAATATATTCCGGCAGAAACGATCGCGCGGCTTGTCAGCAAATTGAAATATCGCACCTCGATCGGTGGGCCTGGTAATTGGCGATTTACAGCCAAGACGGACCGGCTGATACCATCCGCCGGGATGCAATGAGGTCGAAAGCAGTCCGTGATGTTGAAGGGACAGTCATAGCACGCCTTGCTCATAGTCATGTAAGACTCCAGCTTGAAAGTGTAATAACAATCTAGGGACGACGCATCATTCCTGCACGTTCGTCTGCACGCGTGACGACTCCAGTCGATGGTGTCGGCGATCTCCGGGTCGATCGGTGTCAGCCCGATATCGTCATGGGCCGTTATCACCGCTTCTGAAACCGAGGAACGTTGCGTTCGAGCTTTCAACTTGAAATTCGGCGCTTTGTGGACACGCAAAGTCTCGAAGAATATTTGCAATCTTGAAATTTGAATTTCGAGAGAAACTCAAGCGGGACAAGACGGATTTTGAAATAGAATATTCGCAGGAATTTTTTTTTTATTTTGGTGCGTTTTTTTTGTAAACTTTGCGTATCCACCTATGATCAATCGATCAGAATCCAAGAATTGATTGCAAGAATTAATCGTGAGAGCGGCGTCACAACTCACCGGATCGACTTTCACGAGCGAACAGATAAAGCAGAACCAGCAGCACGTTCCAGATCATCGTCGTTCTCGGCCTGCAACGAGAGAGCGATCCAATAAGTCATACACGGAGATCAGACGTGCGCATTAAACACGTGTAAATTTAGTTCGTTATACAACATCACGTTCTGCAGATCTCGCGAAGATAAGGAGGAACGACGTTAAGGATGCACATCAGAGAGGATGGGGGGATCGGCTCGAAGACACAAGTGAGCACGAATTGAGATATTCAAAAGGTATTGTGTGTACATACGCGTGTGATGGTGGCTTATATAATACACGTGTTCCATTGAAAGCCTTCTCCATGTGCAACGTGATCTTGAAATTTTACAAAAGATACGTTCGCGAGAAGTGAACTCAACAGGAGGAGAGGTCTCTTCCCTTGGAACAATAAACGATTTGAAATGAAAAAAATAAATTTCTAATATATATGAAATATATATAATTATAGATATATAATTAAAGAATGGAAAAATATATAATTATAGATAAATATATAATTAAAGAATGGAAGAGACTTAAGATGGGATTTTCGTGTCTAAAAGACGATATTCAGGTAGCACGAGCTCCTAAAAGACGTCTAAATGTCCTTTTACCTGTTTCAAATTACCTGTCTCTTAAAAGTTTGTGTTATCTGGGGAACTTAACGAGTCGTTTAACGAGTTAATAAAAAAAACAAAAAAGACAAGAGTGTAAATAGAGTTAGAGACTGCACTGAAGAGCAGTCGGTGTTTACGCGGACGAGCGCATGTGAGAATCCAAAGCAAAAGAGTTCGGAAGCGCGTTCGCGTTGGAACGTCCTGGACTTTTACTACAGATTTCTTAATCGCACCAGCCTTGACTATATATTGTACATCATCGCAATAATCCTCATTTTGCCTATATGTGAACGGTTGTAAAACCCGTCTGCAGTTGGACACTCTTTTAGTGGCACACGGAGCAATCGTGAAGAGGCCGGTGCCGCAATGTCGACATTCTCGCTGCGTTTTACGACACGACGCGACATTACATACGCGAGGTGTCATATCGTGACTTTTTACAAAGTTTGCGCGACTCGACGTGACTGACACGCGTGAGCACTCATTGGCATGACAGGAGACGCAGCTGTTACCAGCAATTGAGCTAATAATCGCATTTTCATAATTACCAGAAAAATATGTTAACGTGTTCGCGCACTGTTTTCCAATCTCTCCTCCGCAATGCGAAATCGGTTCGGAAATATCCAACAGTCGGCAGTGTATTACGAAAGTAAAGCCCGTATAAAACGCGTGCTCGCGTCGTTAACTATAAAAATATCAACGACCCGCTCGTTAAACACCGTTTCAATTTGAAATACGTTCCTATATTATTTATATGTGTCTAGCCGCGTAATTAATTGGTATAATAAATTCTATTTTGTCGTGCGCGTGCGAGTATGATATTGTTAAATTAATATTAATGACCTGTTTTCTTTGAATTGTCGCACAAAATATCAGTGACGAAATGACGAAACAAATGGAATTCATCTTAACAATTTTATATTAAAATTGTTGTTGTAAAACAAATGTCTCTTTAAACTCATAAAACTCACTCTCAAAACTCACAATTATATTTAATTATCTTATAAAATATCCAATTTCTTTCCTTATATTTCTTGTATCGTTAATGAATTATTAGAAATGCCCCTTAGAAAGCACAGGATATTCAACACAGATGAGTAAATATTTAGATTCCAGATCATTTTTGATAAATTAATAGCACAAGTACGTATAATAGCCGAAGAGTTGTGTAAACTTTAATTGCATTATCTATGACTTCATGTCAGTAAAATTATATAAAAAAAATAAGTAAATATATATATTATTCGCACGGAACTTTCTATGATAACATAATATGCAATAACGATAAATTCTGAAATTTCGTCGAATAACGCGTGAAATATCAAAACAAGTTCAAGCGGTGTAGCCACGAGGGTACATGTGACTTACCGCGTCATTTTTACACGCTTAACAATTCCTCGCAGGGTATTCTCCAGGTCGAACGATGAAGATCGATAGGTCTAGCTAATCCACGGACGATGGTCGTCAACGATACGTCTCGGCGTTGAACTTTCCGTTCACGATTTAGAGTTGAGACGCGACAGACGTCTCCTCTCGCGTGCAAGCGCCGGAAGCCAAGTCTATTTGGCTACTCGCCCCGAAGACTTCTCGTCCGGTGTCCAAGACGCAATGACCGCGTCGTGGTGATGTATCACGAGGTATTGAGGAACCGGCGTGCCCCTCTCTATCCAGGAGTCCTGTTGAATCGCCGCAGCCACGAATAGCCGGCGAGATGGGCGTTCTGCTACTTCACTTGTCCTCACGTAGACCATCAGGTAGAACAGGTAGACACGAGAATGACACACGACACGCCGCGATATGGCGCGAATCACGGCCGTCCTTTTCGCCGCCTTCCCCCGCGTATGCCGCAGTTTTCCCCACGGGAATTCATATCACCGGATTTCCCCCTCAAACACTGGTCGACTTGTGCCGAAATCCGCGAGAGGAAAAAGAAGAAAAAGAGAATGACGTTGATGAGAACGAGGAAGAAGCGTTGTCGCGGCTCTTCAATAAGGGTTTCTTTTTCCTTTCTGCGGAGGTTGGTTTCGTGGCATGCGTGGCGAAGAAAAGACTCGATTTGATATAATTTTATCGTCGAGCGGCGGAGTCGAAAAGTAATAAAAGTTATCTTCGTCGTAATTGAACTTAATACCCAGCCGGGCGCGATAAACAAGTTACTTAGCTGTACACTCGCGAACAGCGAACTCGACGGATTTTGCTTCTGATCTTCGCAATTGAAAGTCCGTCGCGAAAATCAGGCGACTTTTTTTAATTTGTAAATAAAAGTTGAAATAAATTTCATGTAAATACGTTTAGATCCATGGCGAAGTTATTGACTGCACCACAAAGTATTCGATTCTGCGCTCGGAATTAATATTCATTTTATTAAAATGCAAACTTCCTACGCGTAAAAATTTCCTTTTACGGTATTTTGCACACGTCACGATGACGCGCTTTGCCCATATTACGTGCGATAAATATAAATCCCGATCTGTAAATGTAATCAATTATACGAGTTTCTCTGATTTCCTAGGATCCAAGCGTCATCGCGTGCGAAGTTTTATGATGCAAGACATCAAGACGTCTTAATTGAATAATTAAATACAGTACAATCATGCGTCGTTATGAATTCCTCTGAGAGGTGAAGCCGATCGAGCGAATGACGTGAATGTGCATTTATTCACTTCAGTACATATGTAAACGCACTTTCGTTTACTCAATATCACAATTGCTCAACACATCGCGTCAAAATCGTTAATTATACAACACCAATTGATCGTTTCGCGCCGCGAAGAAAACGAAGTTCAATCATGTGTATATTGTTCGCACAATGTACGTTTACGCACGATTTGCTTGCGTAATCGATAAAGGATCTTTAATTGTGAACAAAAACAGTAATTTTTGATCGCAAGATTAATCGCACGGAAAAAATATAGGAAGACCGATAAATCGGTAAAGACGACTTTACGTTAAAAAAAACTCGCCTCGTGAGTTTATATTCTCGATTTTCCGAATTGGAAATCAATCTCATCACTCATTCCTATATTTCTTCCTGCTTCCTTGAGTCTATATCTATCATCTGCGGGAATCTCTCTCCGAGTTTTGACTAAAAATAAGATTTTGAATTAATTATACTAATAATAATGAAGTGTGCTAGATACAATCTAACGAAAGTGAGATTCATTATCAATGACACGATAAGAAGTGACAAATTCCAACTTTAACGGGAAATTTCATCTCGAAAGTGTCACTTAACCGTATCTTATCGCATTAATAACACGAAAGTACAGCATGGTGCTTACCGTGTTTATCAGTAAAATCAGCACCGGAAGAAACGTCTTTAAAACTGCTTGATCGTTATAAGATCAGAATGTGATATAATTTAGGAAGTTATATTAACATTTCGTGTCGCGTAATTAACGTATTGATTTGAATAATCAAGTCCTTTTTTCGAGTCAACACGAGAAGCACGGATATTCGCGCGTATAAATTATTCATTATTATTATTTTATCATACAATGTTCTCAAAAGGTTGTTCTTAGTTGGAACGTTTCAACCCTAATTAAAATTCGTCTCACAAGAAGTGGTCATAAGGTATTCTTGGAGTTTTTGAACGAAAATTGGAAAGTATATAGAGAAAAATATATGGAAAACGGTGACAGGATCTTCACTTTCATAACTTTTTGGAATCCAGATAAACTGACCACAATGATCATTTTTTATAAATCCATGCTTTTCTTAACTAAATATCATTTTATATCGAAAGAAAGAAATTTCCAGTGATTGGGACCATTTTGTTGTGATTTTCACTTTGACATTACTTTTAAAGCTTGCATGCTACAAAATTAACGTGCTCGTGAGAGTATTTTTTCAGCATACAATAGATGAAGACAGAAAAGTAGAAATATACAACAATAATGATAATAACGTAATTGTCAAATAACAATTACCGCGTTTTAACGTCGCAAAATCGACGATTTAGAAATTGAAACAGGAAAAGACGCGCTGTTTCGTTTTACGCATGAATCAAAATAATATCTTTGTTCCTCATAAATATAGTACAGGAAAAACAAAAAAAAACTTGACTAATCTGTGTATGCGGGCATCAATTTACTAGCACTTAAGCTGTAGAATCTCGCAAAACAGGTTTCAGAAGGGAATTCCCACTGCTTTTCGGGGCGATTTGATGCGAGTAACCAGTAGCCGCCGACTCGCGTCAGTCGATGACGTTTAACTATAATTGTTCTACATGGACTTCCTGGTTTGTGTGGGACGCGGTCTACGATTTTCGCGAACACTTAATCCATTCTTCCTAAAAGCAGGTATATTAATATTAATCGATCGTGTATTTTATCGTGTATTTTTACGTAAACCGCCTTCCACGATTTTTGCTATTATGGTTTCTGCAGTTTTCCACCGCGATTGCAACAAAACGTCTAAGGTCGTGACGGCACAACGAAGTGACACGATCGTGCAATCATTTTGCATGAACAATCTCATAATTATCTTTAGCAGGAAATAGCGTAGAGTTTTGCCTTGACTCGCGATCGTGTACATTCGCGAAAGAAAAGAAGGGGAAGAAAGAAAGCTGACATGTATACATGCGCGAGAACAGCAGAGACCATAACTTCGAGATTGAATTCGTCATGGAAAAAAGCGGAGCCTGGCGCATTCAAATTCGCAGGATTGCCTCAAGGCAAGATGTTACTGATGTATATTACATAATTTGGAACGGCTAGCGAAGGTCGTCGCGCGTAATAAACGTGTAAAGAATGACGACAAATTGATCAACGTGAGAGAGAGAAAGAGAGAGAGAGCAGTACACCCATGCCACGCGAGACGAAATTATCCACATAGTATGAATGCGACCTTACGCAATGAATCCGCGATGGGCCATGGCCGCAAAACGACGGGCCCTGAGAGAACGAGGCAGAGCGACGTCCGTTGTTGAACGGTGCTCTAAGAGCGATGAGAGATGTGGACGCGGGTCAGTCGAGTGCTGCCACATGAGTTTCCTTTTGCCGTGGAAAAACATCGTCGCTTTCGCTCGGCGCGCTTTTATTTTTTTCCTGCTCCATCCTCGTTCGCGGCTTTTTCGCACTGAAGACATTTCTCTTTCTTCCTCTTGTTGCAAAATATAATGCGGATGTCTCCGGGCTATATAGACATTCGGAATCTGGAAGAATCATTGTCTCCTCATTTTTTCAGACCTTCCAAATGTCTTTACGTATCTCGAACACTCGTGATATACTCCGGGACAAAAAAGAAAGAGAAGTGCCTACCATGCATGTAAGTCCTGAAGTCTGTCCAGTGGAGCAAGAATAACTTTCTGAGTGAAAACTTGAAACTTTCTACATTTTTGCTCTTGAGGAAAAGTTATACAATCGGATAGGAGATTATGCGTACAGAAGTATAAGACGTAACGAGCGTGTCGTCGACATGTGCGTTTGATAAAAGACGTCTTTTTGTGTTATCGGAGACAGACTTGGAGACAGGCTCGGAGACAGGCTCGTTTTGTTTCATTCTTCTGTGACTAAGAAGATTCTGGCTAATTAAGTAATCTTACTCAGAAGGAAAAACATGACAGGTTTCAAATTTCCATTCCTAGAAAAGTTATTTTTGCCCCATCGTTCAGATTCCGAGATTCACACGCAAGGACGACGTTTCCTTCTCGTTCTCTCGTTCTGAAATATAATATGAATGTCCGGGTTATATAAAGATGTTTGGAAAAAGTTCTGGAAAAATAGGGAGTCCTTTTTTTAAATACTCATGCTGTCGTGTTGTGACACGTTCGTTTTTTCGCAGCGGAAAGAATCTTGGTCGATCATATAACTCTTCCCCAGTATCCCTATTCTGTAACTCGTTATTGGAGTTAACGACAGTTTCGTTATTGTTGCGCAGCTTTTCTATACCGTAGAAAAGCAGCGCAACGATAACGAAACTATCATTAACTCCAATAACAAGTTCCAGAATCCCAACACAGGAGCGAAAATGTGAATAATTTCCATTATTTGAAAAGTCATCGAGTTCACCTGAGACATTAGTCCGAGTTTTTAAAATGTGTAGTAAGTCCTTAGCTTTTTATTCTACAATGTATTTTTTATTTCCTGTTTCTTGTTTTCTATCTTTTTTTGGCTTAAGGCTAAGTTTAATCTATAATGTGCTCTTTGTTTCCTATTTCTTGTCCTTTTCTGGCTTAAGGTTTGAATAAAAAAAGAGATAAAAAAACAGCAAGCAAAGAATACATTATATATCAAATTTTAGTAGTAAGCCCAAAACTGATCTAATTTTCGACTATAAATATTTTCTATTGCTGCCTGAAGCCAACCTATAAGTTTTAAGCAAATTGGCCAAATTCCAATTGTTACAGCAGCATGGAAAGTTCTTTTTGCCAGAAATTATATTACAGCATAAAGTTGAAGGCTTACTATTGTAGAGCTGGGCTTACAGTTTTCACGTTCTCACTTTTAAGGAACAAGTTACATGACATCCACCTTGACAAAATGCGGGTAATTCCTCGTCACGTCGATGACGAAAATGACGTTTGCGCGCACGCAATAACGCACAAGGATGCGTGAGAGCATTGTCCTTTCGGCGCTTAGTCATCAACCGCATTCTGCCAAGTTATTTCTATTAGATGATTAATTTTGCGCGTTACAGCGCAAGTTTTTCGAATTTGTAATATAAAAGAGAGAATAAATACAAACGAGTTTTTAACGAGTGTTTCTGCTGCGATAACGATGCGTGCTCCATCTGATATTACACGTGCCAACAGCTCAACGGATCGTAATCTTGCTAGTGTTGGAAGTGTATAATATATAGATGATATGAAGAATAGTTACTCAATGTTTGACAATGGATATAGAGGCCATTTTATAATTGCGTAAACGTGGTCGTAAATGGTTATAAATGATTATGACATAATGATTACTGTTACTATAGTAACTAGTAATAAAATTATTAAAAATAATTGGTCAATTTATTATTTTGATAGTATTAAATTTCTATAAGGATCTAATTTACGAATATGACTTTGTTTATGTTCTTTATATCAGTATAACGCCGATGCATCTTCAATAGAGAAAATCACGGAGTTTACGAATGAAACTTACATGTATGAAAATATGTAGTATTCCATCGTATATTAGGCAACTTATCTACGTATTGGCTGCGGTGATCAGGTGCTCTTTTTTTCTTGAAAAGACTGTTTCGCGTTTGCGTTGCTGACGCTTGAAGATCTCGAGAATGAGATCTGTTCACTGTTTTGCTGAATCTTCATGAAAGGTCTCGTTGCTGAGTCATCGCAAGTAGGTTTGCGTGGTGCTTAATTTGAGGTTGGAAGCCCGCGACAGGACAACTCGTGAAATATGTTTTTGCCGCGTCGCGATTTGTTTTTGATAATGTCATCTTGTCGGATTAATTTCGTCGGTTTCCGCTGCAGCGTGCCAGGCAACATCTCCATAGCTACGTTCGAAAACTCTACTCAACGGGTGGAGTAGCATTTAATTGACCAATAAAAACAAAGATAATTAGGATTTCTTTATCATAATTGGTCAATTAAATATACCCTATCCACCGAGTAGAATTTTGTAACGCAGCACATAGAAACACTGGTTGCTTTCCAGCTACGTGCCTGTGTTACAGGTACGTTACACTGTGTTACACAAAACCAGTTTATTGATCTATCCATATGTTATCTAAAATATCTTGTAAGATAATACATAGATAGACCAATAAACTGGTTTTGTGTAACACAGTGTAAAGTAGCTGAAAAGCACTCTATAAGTCCCGATCTACAATAAGTATAGTAAGCTTTAAGCCTTAAGAAATTAACCAATCACAGTGGAATTATAGAGGAATAATTAATTGTGATTGGTTAATTTCTTAGGGTGAGTTCCACTTAGCGCAACACCCGTCGCGTCGTCCTTCCAATCAAATCGTTCCATTTTATTCGTCGTAAAGTTTGGCAATAAAATGGGACGATTTGATTGGTCCGCGAAGGACGACGCGCGCGTAACGCGCTAAGTGGAAACGCACCCTTAGAGCGAGAAAAAATATACTTGTCTCACTTTAACTTATTGCACAGTTCAGCAGTGCAGCTAAAAAGAACAGACCATAGTTTTCTCACCTTGCTAGTACACGATTTGACGCGAAGAATATTGTATGATAATTTCGATAATGGAAAGAATTTTGTTATTGACGAGCTGATTGAACATAACGATCATCAAATACACAATTTAAAAGGAATTTTGAGTTGAAAAAGTGGACAGGATAAAGCGTGACTTTTCTACAAGGAATAAATTTTCGTAAGAAAAGAAAGACACCTAACCTAATTTTGCTAATTAGATATGACATAAATAAACAGAACGATTTTATCTTTTAGCAAATTGAAAAAGTATCGTGTTTTAACAAAAATAGATATCCAGAAGGAAAGGAAGAAAAGACGTAGTCCTCGAATTATCACCTAACCTAAAATGGCCAATTCGTTGGCGAACGTGACCGTATCGAGCATTTTGAAGAACAAGAGCTCATTCGAGGATGAGCCGCGGAAGAAGAGTCGGGAAGACTGGCGAAAAGCGAAGGAACTCGAAGAGGCCAGAAAAGCTGGCACAGCTCCAGCTGCCGTAGATGAAGAAGGAAAGGATATCAATCCGCATATACCTCAATACATCAGTGCGACTCCATGGTACTTCGGCGCCCAAGGCCCTACTCTGAAGCACCAACGGCCACAACCAGAGAAGCAGAAGCAATATAGCTCCATAGATGCGTGGTACAATCGTGGAGTAGACAGCTCAAACACAGTGGCCAAGTATCGCAAGGGTGCCTGTGAAAACTGTGGTGCGTTAACACATAAGAGGAAAGAATGCATGGAGAGACCACGCAAGGTTGGCGCCAAGTATACCAATGCAAAGATCGCTCCTGATGAGTTCACTCAGCCTGAGTTATCCATGGACTACGATGGTAAGAGGGACCGCTGGGCTGGCTACGATCCATCTGAGCACAGAGCCATAGTGGACGAGTATCAGAAGGTTGAGGAGGCCAAGAGACAGATGCGTGCGGAAAAGCTCAACGCGGAGGAGAACGACGAACAGGATTCGGACAAGGATGAGGACAAATACGTGGACGAGGTGGACATGCCCGGCACGAAGGTGGACTCGAAGCAGCGCATTACTGTGAGAAATCTGCGTATCCGGGAGGACACTGCCAAGTATCTGCGCAATCTCGACCCGAACTCCGCGTATTACGATCCCAAGACCAGATCCATGCGAGACAATCCTTATGTCGGCACCGAACGCGAGGTGGATTACAAAGGCGAGAACTTCGTGCGCTTCTCCGGCGACACTCAGCAACACGCTAACGCGCAACTGTTCGCCTGGGAGGCGCACGAGAAGGGCGTCGATGTGCACTTACTGGCCGAGCCGACGAAGCTGGAATTGTTGAAGCAAGAATACGACAAGAAGCGGGACGAATTGAAGGATAAGGCGCGCGATAGTATAATCGAGTGTTACGGAGGCGAGGAGCACCTCGAGGCGCCGCCGAAGACGCTGCTGTTGGCACAGACCGAGCATTACGTCGAGTATTCGAGATACGGCAAAATAGTCAAAGGACAGGACAGACAGGTGATACGATCCAAATACGAGGAAGACGTCCATCCGAACAACCACACGTCAGTGTGGGGCTCTTACTGGCAGGACGGCAAGTGGGGCTATCAGTGCTGTTATTCTTTCATTAAAAACTCATATTGCACCGGGATGTCCGGCAAGAGATCGGTCGAGGCCGCAGCTAGTAACGTGCAAGATAAAGTACCGTTCGTGAGATCTGAGATGCAAGAGACGGAGGATAACGAGCTTCGACGATTCTCGGATACTGCGGACAAAGAGGAGCATTCTTCGAGCAGCGACTTCTCGTCTGATGACGAAGATATGAAGAATAAGACGGAGAGACAGAGCAAAGCAGCTAAACGAAGATTGAAGAAACAAAAGAGGAAAGAAAGCCGTAAGAATAAGAAGAAGAGTGAGAAGCAGGAAGACAAGTTGAACGAGGCGTTGAGAAAGGAGGAGGAAAGCACGAAGACGGCGGACAAATTGTTGAAGATGGACGAGAGAAAACGTCCGTATAATAGCATGTACGAGGTAAAAGAACTAACGAGCGAAGAGATAGAAGCGTATCAGATGAAACGCAAACGCGACGAGGATCCGATGGCGCATTTTCTTTAAAATCAACTACTATGTTGTTTGTAACGCTGTAAATGAATGTTGTATATATCTGTACAGTAAAAAAACGTAAAATTAAATAATTGAACATATAAATAATATATCTAGCAAGTAAATAATATATCTAATAAGAAACAATATGTTAGTTTAATATTAATATTCAATTATAATAAAATAATAAACAAATATAAGTTATAAATTACATTTTTAAACTATGTAAGTTTGTATATATTTAAATAAAGGATTGATATGAAAATATTGATAAAAATAAAGGCAATTTCAATAGTAACTTTAATAGTGGCCCGCTTTGTTCCTATTGGTTGTCAATGATTCTTATTATTGCTCTTTTTTATTGGAAGTAACTAAATCTAACCTAAACCCAACTAAAATTCTAGTTATCTCTCCTCTAGACTCAAAGGCTCATATTCTGAATTCTCTTTTATCGATAAAAGTGTCTTAAATGTAGCTTTTCAGCCAATCAGGCTCTTAAGCCTCTTTTTAGAGGCCTTTTTATAGATAAAAGAGGATTCAGAATATGGGCCAAAGATTCTGATTGGTTTTTCAGTTCATTCATTTTAACCTTCGTTTACACCCAAGCAATTATGTGCGATGGATGTGTTCGTAAAGCCCGTATCAGACTACCGACTGCACAGGCCTACTCTCAATGGACGAATCACAGGTGCGATTACATGAGCGTTACGGAAATGCGGAAAAGTAACTAGTAACTAAATGGGACCCGTGCGGTTTCGTTCTGTTTTTCCGCGGATTTTATGCTGAAATACGGAACAAGCAAAAAGCATAAGATAATGATACCATACAGTCATCTGAAGCCAACCATCGTAAAGTCACCTGCAATCTTATTCGAGCACTTATTGGATTACGAATTACTCTCTGTTTTTCGATATGAGGTCCAACGATTGTCAGTAATTCATCGAACATTGTTGGTGACATCCGCAGATAGTTAAAATATTTTTCGTTGTCAGACAATAGCATTTCAACGATTAAATTATCACTGCTCCTTGTAACAATCTTCATTGTTCAGAAAATATGGGTCTTTCCCACATTCTGCGATTTCGTCTGTCTTCTAATTTTTTGTAACAATTGTAGATATAAAATAATTTTGTAACTTTTTTCATCGTTTTCATCGTTTTTCCGTATACCTCTTTGGTTGCTTTCGTGCTCGTATTACCAGTGTGATCATAGCCATTAACATATAATTTAAAATCATATTTGCAGCAAGCAAAAACGTGGCAATCAAACGTAATAAGCCAAACTTTATAGCTTTTAAATCTTCTTTCACAGATTTGTGTATGCGCTCACACAAGGAGTATATATAACGGAGTAAACGCGTTCCGTTGATTTGGTTGCCCTAAATATTACATGGAGCACAATTTGTGCGGAAATGCGGAACGGTATAGTGATAAATAAATATTTGTATACATTTTAAAAAATTATATTTACTTCATTCATTGCAATTTTTATTAATACGCTTCTTTTTCAACTTATCCGTTTAATAAAAACATTTTAATCAATAAATATCGATTACAATTAATGTTTTATAATTCCTCGTTCTGATTTTCCGTATAAAATATGCTCCATGTAATATTTAAGAGAAATAAAGCTACGGAACAAAAGCGCGGAAATGCGTAAATCTAGTTAAGTCCTAGTAACTTTGTCTTCCGTATTTCCGCATTTCCGTATTTCCATACGCTCATGTAATTGCACCCTGAGGTACCGACTCGGCAGTGGAATTATAGAGGAATCAATTGTGATTGATTAATTTCTTACGGCTTAAAGCTTACTACATCTATTGTAGATCAGAACTAATAGCATGTTCGACTGGCTCTGGGTTAACCCACTCTGGATTATTCAGCCTACGATTATTGGTCGAACAAGTACTTATAAGCTTTATGATTGGCTAGTAGAGGCTTATGACGTCATTAATCGCTCTCGGAGCGATTAACCCAGGGCCAGTCGAACACGCTTTAACAAAAGGCCTGTTCTTTGTAGCTGCACTACTGAACTAGTGCAATAAGTTAGAGTGAGAAAACGTATATTTGTTTCACTTCAATATATTGCACCAGTTCAGCAGTGCAACTACAAAGAACAGGCCTAATGACTGGACACGTGAAATCATTTTCTGATTGGTCTGCCATGTTTATGCTATTCCATAATTTTTCTCTCGAATGCGCATCTAAATAATCGAATCATTCGTGCTCTAAAAGTCGATAGTGGAATTGTAGTTCGCGGAGTATATGTGAACAAAAAAATGGCGGATGACAATGAGGATCAGTGGTTATACGGCGATTCGGCTGAGGGAAAAGACTTTACACCGACGAATATTCAGTCAGAAAGTCATCAAAATGAATCTGTCCTCACCAACCTTCCGGAGAAATCTCAAGTTCCAGAAGATCAGAGGATGGAGAGTTCCAACGAAGTACCGTCTGAGGTACACGCGTCACATAACCTTTATCGAACGTGTATTGTGAATTGTTTTTTAACGAAACATCTCATAGATTTTAAATTTTCGGTAAATTAATTTTGTGAGTCCAACATACTCAATTTTCTTTATTGCGTACAGTTTTCTTGTCTACACTTGTGCTTTTAGATAGCATAACCTACTTCTAAAACTATGAACAGTTAATGAACAATTGTCAGAAAGAATAAGCCTAGAAATAAGTGGAGTTTACTAAAAAGTTTATTTTTAGATCGTCTTGAATCTCCATTAAAAAAACCAAGCTTTTGTTGAAAAGCTATTGAAAATTTTGAAACATTTTATGCAGCAGTTCTTTCCTTTGTTATTTCCCTTCAAAATATCTGTAATCTTTGCACACGTTGCTATTTTTTCAAGATACTCATACACTTTTACTTCTGCAAATGCAGGAGGATGGAAACTCTCATACTGGTAGAGAAGAGTCTTTGCTGAATAACACGCAGGAAGATAACGTCGATGTGAATAAGAATGGGACTAGGGAGCCGTCTAGCCAAGAGGACGGCGAGGCACCCAGCGATTCCGATTCTGATGATGATGTGCACGTTGTTATTGGCGATATCAAGTCTACTCCAGCATATGGTAGTTTGAACATCAAAAGAGGTGGACTGTTGACCAACGCGTCTGGCGTACCGGATAAACTGAACAAACAGCCGGGCAAGTTCAGTATAGAAGAGTTTGAAACGATCGGGATCATCAATGGAATACCAGCTCATGAATTCAATCTCGATCAGTTGGAAGATAAACCATGGCGGCAACCTGGCGCGGACATCACAGATTATTTCAACTACGGCTTCAACGAGGAGACATGGCGTGCCTATTGCGAACGACAGAAGCGGATGCGCAACGAGTCCGGGGTGGGATTGATTCTGAATACTGGCAGCGGTGGCGGCAATCAGGGTAGTATGAGAATGCCACAAGTTGCGATAACTAACGACAACAGTAAATATTCAGGAATTATGGGGCCGAAGAGAGCAGGACCGCCTCCAGGACGAAAAATGGCAGGCACCATTGATGTGATCGGCAGTTCTGGTCTGGCTTCGCGAAGAAACTTGGACAAGTCACCACCGAAGGGCAATGTTATACAAGTAATGACCGCAGACAGAAGGGAATACTCTAGGAAACCTGGCTTTCCGGATATGAGCGTACCACCTCCTGGTGCAGGCATGCCGCCGCCATTTGACATGCCGCCCCCGGGCTACGCTGGTGAAGCGACGTCTTTCTACATGCCAGACGCTGACCCGTATTATCAGAGCTACGAACCGACGCAGGACAGCCAATGGGGTAACGATCCGGTACGGAGTGCGCGTTGGCGCGACACGTTTGTAAATGGGAGAAATATTCGTGGGACTAACTTCCTTTTCTCCTTTCTAATTTCTTTTCCATTTGTCATTTGTTTTAGACATGGCAACCAACGAATCTGGCGATTCCGATGACTGAGAATGAAGACGACAAAGATCTGGGACCCAAGACAATACCCACCATGGTGCCACCGACATCTATTCCACCTCTGATTCAATCGCGCGATCAAAGAGACGCTAGAGATCGCGAAAGAGATAGAGACAGAGATCGGGACAGGGATATAGACTCTATGGGCAGAGACAGGGATAGAGAAAAGGACAGAGACCGCGACCGTGAGAGAGAAAAGGATCCGTTGATGAGGGATCGTGATAGAGAAAGGGACTCTATGACGAGAGACGAGGATCGAGAGCGCGAAAGATCGAGATCTCAGTATCGACATAAGGATCGGTAATGGATACATAGTTTCTGCTAAATTATGCACTGCTTTTTTGCACTAATTATTATTCTATTAAATATATATTTCATGTTAAAAGTTTAATATTCGTATTTAAAGGCAAAAACAATAAAAATGTCAGAACTAGATACATGTCAGGACATTGTTATTTTTGCTTTATTACTAAGATCGAGTATGCTTCTTTCTGTGGCAGCTTGGTTTCATCTCTGGTTTAACGCAGGGGTTGTTCAGCTTGCGTGTCGCGGCAAGGCTCGTACGCGGGTACTTAAATACTAAATATTGATCACACGGTGTTTTCCTTTCAGGCATCGGCATCGATCAAGGTCGCGGTCCCGTAGACACAAATCGAGATCGCGAAGTCCAAGTCGACGCAAGAAGAAATCCAGACGCTCGGACAGAGAGCGATCGAAGGAAGAGAGCGAATAAATTGAATAACATACATGCATATATATATATATATATATATATATATATATATATGTATATATATGCGTATATACTATTACGCGTATATTGATCGACGGCTGTTGTAGCAAAACTACAAAAGTTACAGAGATCACCTTTCATAAACAGGTGTTCTGATGGTTAATCTATAAACATATACACTCAGAACAAGTGCGCGATAGTATGATTAATTTACGAAAATAATATAATCGGCATTAATACTTTGGCCAATTATTCGGCTCGAGTACGTTTTAGGTAACATAACTTGCGATAACTATCGAGACGGATTTCTATTTGTAAATTTACAATGCACTTACACACCACACGTCTGTAATAGTGTTTAAAAAACATATTGTCGCTTCTTATTCAATAGCACAATTCAATCGCTTTATTTCGCAAAAAAATGAAGATAAACCGCGAATTGCTCGTGAAATTTTGTGCGATCTTCAAACGTGAAGTGATTGCATCAGTGTGCGCCTGATTGAGAGCAAACTAAACATTGGGTTTGCTGAAGCAGATCGGTCGAAACCACAGATGGAAGACAGAATTGCGATATATATGTAAATGTTATCTCGAAAATGATGCATCCCTTGTAATTTTTGTTAGTGCAAGTTTTCACAAAACTGAAAAGAAAAAAGAAGAGATGATACGATAATAAAATAATATTTTCTAGGAAAGAGTTTATTTCTGTCTAGAATATTTGATAACGTCAACGGCGTGGTAAGAACATTCTATTTTAATTTAAAATATTTCTGAGGTATGTGAGATTGAGATTGATAACGTTATTGCCAATGTTAAAATTGATGACGTTATTACCAATGTTAAAATTGAGCAAAATAAGAGAGTTGAATCTCTCCATGACACACCGAGATGAACGAGATTACCAATGGTGTTAGAGTTCTGTAATACCGACGTTACCTTTTGACAAGCTTCTTAAATTCACCATATTAGCGCAATAATCGTTTGTCATTATATTGCGCGCGTACCTCTTGAAAAACCGTTAGAACCAATTCGCCCGAAAGAAAAAGCTGGTACGTTCCTATCTAGATAGTTATTCTTATATCATAATATATTAATGCGAGTATATAATAATGCGAGTATTTTGTTGCGCGATTCTCTCATTATAACTGTGTCCATAAATATCGATTGATTTATTGCGTGAAAACAATAGAATACAACTGTCGAGTATAGGTTATATTTCTGCCTATATATGCGAATCTGTAGTATGCAGTATTTGTGCGACCAAAATAAAAAATTCAGTTTTTCCATGCATAATGTTAACTAGTAAATTATATTAACATATTGTACATAATTGTCGCTGTTCATAAAATTTGCATATTAAATCACTAACGATTAAGGTATGCTGATCTTGTGCCATATATTGTAGTCAATAGTAATTTTATTTTTTTAAGATCTACGTATTTTATTACGTCGATTTCAAGTCCAAGATGCCAAAATCAAAAGCATATGTGTCTGACAGTGACGATAGTAGCGAGGAGGTATAGTGTTATGCTTGAATATAGATGCTCCCTAATAATTACTACAGTATTTTTTTTATATATACATCCTTTATTCTTAGGAGAGAAAACCAGTGAAGAAACAAAAGAAAGAAAAGGAAGAGGAAAAAAAAGCAGTTTCTAGCAAGAAGACAAAGTCAGAGGACGATGAAACTGTATGGGACTTGGGTAACAATCGCCAAGTAAACGTAAGGAATTTCAAAGGCAACTTTTATGTGGATATTCGAGAAATGTACTATGATAAAGATGGTGACTTGAAACCTGGGAAAAAAGGTGATTTAGTTCATAATTTTTGTCAGAAACAAGTATTTTATATAAGTGATAAATTTTTCATATATTTCAATGCTTAATTTGTATTATTTTTGTTATTTACATAGGAATATGCTTAAGTATGCCACAATGGCGGAAATTCATGTCTGTTGTGGAGGAAGTGGATAAAGTAGCCAAGTCAAAATGTTAAAATCACGATATGGCTTGTTACAGTCCTACATACTAAAAGATGTTTGGGTTTTATATTTGTAACTTTCTTAATTGAAAAATATATTAGTTTTTAAAGTAATTAATATACATTATTTGAAGAATTATCAGATCACACATGTGTGTGAATACAAAAAATTATAAAGATAATTATAATTTTGTGAAAGGAATATATATTTTGAGAAACATTTATCAGTTTATAATGTATAAATAATAATCGTTTGTTTTCTTCGTTCTCTTCGTTCTTATTTATAAAAATAGTGGTTTCAAGAACTGCAGTAAGAACTACAGTATCTGATCTGTATGCCATAAAAGTTTCATAAATTTTTTGAAATCACACTTGAAATGTTTAATTTCTTTCCCTCATACTTTGCAACCTATTCCTCAGTATCATATGATAATTTTATAATTCCTTTGGTATTATTGATCGTAAGTAATTACAAAAACAACTTATTGTTATCAAATATTGATACTACTTGCTGTGTACTTTGAACTGGCTATTACATGGATATTTCTTTTTTAACAAATGTTACTCAAAATTTTCAGTTATAAGTTAAAAGAAAGCAAAAACCTCTCTACATACTTCGTTTGTCAATTATTGATACTAATGAGTCAAAATATCATAAAACGTATATAGAAGTAACTAATAGTTCTTAAATCTTTACAAGTAACTAATAGTTCCTAAATAATTAATAATGAAATACCTAAAATATTACGTGTTATATCAAAATAGAAAATACGCGCGACATCATAAAATATAGAGAAAATACACTATTTACAAGTGTACAAGTTGTGCAATGAATATCGTACAATACATTGTATATATTATCCTAAAATACACTATGGAAAGATCCTATTCAGGTCCGTGCACCGTAGTCAGAAATTTATTTAGATCTACGTTGCTGAGTAGCGTCTGCGGATCAGTCGCGCATGACTTCTCAATCTGAAAGAAAAAAAATAAGAACACAATTGTACAGTAACGACATAAAACGACTATCAGTAACAGCACAAGTGTCTGCGCGAATCACTTTCTTACCTGTTTTGTCTCTTTCGTTTCCGATAGTTTCCTCTTGCGACTTTTAGTGGCAGTCTCCAAAACTGAAATCAAATTTACATGACATCGGTTTTTCGATCATTGCTATGTATATTAGTTCTTTCTAGTATGATTTCTATTCTTCGACGAGGAATTGCTTACCTTTCTCCTGAGTTTTATCTGGCTTCGACTTCTTCTTCAGGTCGATCTGCGCATCGTTACCGGTTCTGCTGGCCGTCTTAATCGACTTCTTCGCTTTCGCTCCTGACATCTCGTCCATGGAAGACGATGCGGCCAGAAGCTTCGTGTTGTCTCTCGAGATAATCGCTTCGTTATCCGTCTTCGTAGCGAAAGTCTCACTCTTGTGCAACGTCTTCTTGCTTAATGTTCGCTTCTTTGAGTTCTTCGGCTGCAAATTGAATATCTCCTCGAATTCGGTAGCTTTTAGTACTGTGATGCATTCGACGGGATTCGGATCGGACAGGTCGGCGTGATTGATCTCGATCTGCAACTCGTGCCCGCTATATCTTCTCCTCCTTTTCCTTACCGGCGCGCTGTCATCGTACACGAAATGGTACTCGGCCTTGTAATTAGGAACAGTAGCCTTTTTCTGGTCTGACTTGTTGCCATCGTCCTCATTTGTCTCCTCTAGTTTGTTCTTGTCTTCGTTCAGCTGTTGTTGCTGCTTCTCGTTCTGACCCAGTTCGTTCTCGTTCTTGTGCGCTGGCACTAATTGCAGACACTGTAGAACACTCGACAATTCTTCTTTGGGATTTTCCACGTGAATGTTCTCCTGTGAAAGACTCGAAACTTCTTTCATGGGAGCCGAGCTCTGCTGCGTCTCCTCTGTTGTCTTATGAGCCTTCTCCCTTTGCGAGGTTGCCACGCAGGACGACACTCTCTGATCATTCTCTTCGTCGCTGAACAGATCACGCTTCACTTGATCTACTTTGCACTTCAGTATACACTTGGCCTTGTCGATGTGACTCGCGAACTGCCTCGACTTACTTGCCCGATTCTCCACATGATCACGCGACTCCGGCTTCGCCTTATCCTCGCTAATTAAGGTTTCCTGCGCAACAACATGCCTTTCTGTGGACTTAGTTTCCTTCTCCAAGACCTTTGTATGCGTATTACCGTCTCCAAGTGTCTTTCTGACTTCTTCTCGGCTGGCGGTGTTAACGTCGCAGCTTCTCTCCGCGTTCTCTTTGGCGTTCGATCGTTCTTTCGAGCAATCTCGCTCTTTCGAGCGATCTCGCTCCTCCAGTGAAGATTTCGCAGCAGATTCTGTCTCAATGTTGTTAAAATTTTCCAGCGAGTTCGCGTTGCCGACATTGCTCATGTGTGTTTGCTTCATTTCTGAATCATTGTGCAGCCTACCGATAGTTACGTGACTCGTCGTCGTCGGCGACAAATTCACGTTTCTCGACGTGCTCATCTGCTTTCTCTTCTCTTCGTCGTGATCACCACATCCGCTCGCGGAGCTTTGTTTTTGCAGCTCGCATCTCTTCCGTGTATTTTTCGCCGGGTTACTTTCCTGAAGAACAATCTGAGGAGGAGGCACTGTAGCCGGCTTGTCGCGATCCCGATTGCCTTGAGGGTGCTTTGAGGGTGCAGCCTGTCGTCTGTTCAGTTTGGTGAATTGTGCGTTTTTGTTGCGAGCGTCGTTGGAGGCCTTTCTCATCAGCATACGCTTGCGCGTCGTGCCGCTGGCGATGTTGGACTTTGGCGCATCTCGAAACTTTGCAGCCACGCGTTCTCGTTTCTCCTGTAGATGCATGATCAGCTTGTTGCATATGGTCGGTTGGTGTGCGTGAGAATCACCGGCGGCTGCTTTCACAAATTCTTCGATGGCAGCTTTCGACGACTCTGGCCGGATGCACTGCACGTTCGTCACCTTCGGCTTCGACCGCGCACGGCTGAAGTTTTTATTACTGTTGTCCTGCGACTTGGTCAGCTTCGACAGCTTCTCATCCGCCGTGATGATTGCCGAGATCTTGGTCGATAAGTTTGTCAGATTCTCGATGCCGCTTTTCGAGCTGCTGGGCGTCTCCGAGATGTCTGCTTCATTCAATAGAGTCTCGTCCTTGGCGGGAGTTTCCTGCGGAGTAGCTTGCAGTTGATCATCGGTTTTCTCGATCGCGAATACCTTCCTCGGCGAGGACTCCTCCACAATTACAGGATTGATGTTCGAATTATTCTCGTTATTTTTCTCCACCGCGTCTGTATCTTCGTGCGCGTTTAGATTCTTCGTCGGCGAGTGGTTGCTTTTGTCGTTTGACGAGCACGATGATGACGAGTTAGTAGTGGACGTCGATGACGACGAGGAAGAAGAATCAGACGAAGATGAAATATCGGATGACGAGGAGCTGTCGCTCTCGTTGCTATAGTTGTGATCGGAGATCAATGTCTGATGGTGGTGTTCAACGTTTGTGTTCGGAAGCTCGTTGATCCGTATCAAATCCACCGCGACGACGGATGCGGAGGAAGTGACAGTATTGAGCTCCATCGTCGAGTCTTTGTTGTTAGATGCGATCTTCAATTCCTTGATTGCTTCCTCCTTCGGCAGGTTCTCCTTGATCACCTCAAACTGCGTGATTTCCAACTTCGTTGTGGAGGTGCACGTTTGATAAGATGTGCCGGCGGCAGCGAGACTGTTGTGCGTCGATTGCAGTTTGATGTGTGACGACGAGATCACCGGTGATTCCACACTGACAACGGGAATATTCTTGGATATTCCGTTTTTCTCTTCCGTCGCCTGCTCGCAGCTGGGCTCGTAGTACGGGGAACGGTATTCGTTCTCCTTCACGACATCTCTAGTCGTCTCTTCTGTATGCTTCGGCGTCAAAGATATGCACGGGGTAATTGGAAACTCCGGCGTACTGATGAAACTGCTGCGCAGTCGGCTGGAGTCCTCACTGAGCTTAATGAACGGCGTGACGGCGTTGTTACCGGGACTGAGCATCCTCGGCGTCGGTGGCAACATAGACGTGCCGTCGTTATTGAATTTCCTGGGTGTCTCCACATCGATCATGTCGGGTATTTGAAGCATATGCTGTGTGCTGGTCGAGGATAAAATTCTCGATAGCTCGGACATCTGTGACCTGTTCACCACTTGACTTGCGTCCTCTGTGTTATTCTTGCTCTCGTCGTCGTTGGGCTTTTTCAGGTTAGTCCTTATCGTTTTCAGTTGCACGTACTTCTTCAGAGGCTTCTTCTCAGCCACAGCGTCGTTATCGGGGGTACTTATAGCGTCCGTTTTCGTCGACGTCTCGGAAGCATCGCCTGACCCTGAAATTTTATCAAATTTACTCGTAGAAATGTTGCTCGCGCTAGTGGTAATGACGTCATGATTCTTCTCTATTGTTGTGGTTTTCGCGTTTTCTTGAGAATGCTCACATGGCTCGTTGGTGTCTTCAGTCTTCTGAGACGTCTCGCAGGACTTCCTCTTGTCTTTGCTTTTTGTCGATTGCTGATTGTATTTGCCTCGCTTATGCGTTACGCTATTGCCGTCCTTATTCGAGTGTTTTCTCTTCGTGGGCTTCTTCACCTCGGTCTCGTCTTTTTTGTTTGATTGCAAACATTTTCGTAGATCAGCATCCCAAATTTCTGCCGGCATTTTCGACGTCTTGTGCTGAGCTCGGTCTTCGGAAGAAGAGGATGCACTGGTACTCCCATGAGAAGATACATCGCCGATAATAACGCCGACGCCGTTGAATTTGTCCCATCCGCCCATTAATTTAGGCGCGGGACTCCTGGTGGCTATGGGAATCTTGTAAGACTGACAAATCTTCACCGGGCTTTGTTGCTTCTGCGTGGTCATAGCGGATGAATTAGAGAACGACGGTGATTTGAACAACGATGTTCTGCAAACGGATTTCAAGCGTTTCGTTGTCTCGTTCGCGTTTGCCTTCCTAGCAGAGCTGATCACCTTCGGCGGCGTGCTGAAATCGAGCGCTCTTATATGGCTGCTTCGTTTGCGTGGTGTGGACAGACTCAGTCTGCGGTTCTTGGAGCGGCTTTTCAGCAGAGATTTCGGTGTACGTTTTGTGATAATATCCGTGTTCGTAGAGACTGTTGGCTGCTGCTCCGCGGTGGTGGCGTCGATCGTCATCGTCGTGGTGGCAGTGCACTTTACATTCTCCATCACGGGTGTCAGATCGATGTCCGAGAGATTGTGGCTCTGACCGATCTTGCTGCAATTGAATTTCACGTACGGCGAGAGACCGCTCTCCGACAGACTGATATTCTCCTCCAGGTTGATCGTAGGCATATTGGCACTGTCCAACGACGTTTTCGCACTGCTCTCGTTGCCGTAGAGCGTGATCACTTGGGACTCACCCGCCGCGAGCTTACCAATCATCTGCATAGGTTCCGTCGGGATTAAGGGCCGCTGATCAATGATAACGGGTGTCAATGTTGCATCAACTTTATGCACGGTTTTTACCGTTTTGCTCACCTTGGTGGTACTCCTCTGAGATTGTGACAAGGCTTGACCCGAGTTGCCCGGTTCATCCACTAGAATTGGCAGTTTTTGTGCTAGGTTCACTGTTCTTAGGTACATAGTTTCTAAAGATCCGGCGATTCTGCTTGGATCTTTCGGAGCGATCGGGATAAAACGGGATGTGGAGGTTGATCTGATGGTCGACGAGTGATTCATACTCAGGAGGTTACTTATCTCTTCTTTCGAGCATACCACTAGCGTCGGTGTGGTCATCATCTCCTGTTTTGTCATGATTTGATTGTCGTTAATTGTTTGGTCACGTTTTGGTTTCGTGGGCCTCGGTCGCTTCACCGTCGATTTCTTGACTTTAGACTCCGTATTGCCGTTCGCAGACGGTACTACGTTGCTCATTCTTTGAATGTTCGACGACGTCAAAGACTTTGTTGTTGTGTCCTCTTTACTCACTGCAGCAGATATCATCATTTGGACATTTTCCTCCGTAATTTCACCTGCGACCGTTGATTCTTTCACGTTGTCGACAATTTTTTTCTCATTGGACGTGTTATTGGTAATATTAGCATTTACAATACTTAACACCGCGGCTGCATTCTGATCCTCCAAAGAGCTCTGTTCCTTCTCCTGATCTTTGCTTTTCTCGGCCTCATCCTCGATTCTATTATTTTGCTGTCTGGAAGAGCTGCGTAGTCTATGCTTCAGAGGCACATCTGCGGCATTGTTCTCTGCGGACGTCCTGGTATCCACTATTGTTGGTTCTGGTGAGCTGACGTTGCCAAAAGTAGCTTCTACGTGTTTCTCTTGCTCCACTCTACAAATATGACGATATTGCAATATGAGCAAATCACTATACTTGTAATAAAAAAGAGATAACAAGTATATGTACTTACTCGTTGAGAAACTTTGGGCTGTGCTTTCCTTCACCATCTTCTTCCGGACTCGTGTCGGTCTCCGTATGCGGCCCGATGATCTCATCGAGGAACTTCTCGAATACGGGATCGGTCTCTGTCGCTTCAACAATCGACTTAATAGCATTATTCAACTCGGCCATAATAGAAGTGTTCCCTTCGCCAATCGATTCGTTGAAACACTCATCCCTCAGAGATAAGTCCGTAGGAATGATTGCTCTATTGATATTTTCGGCAATACATTCTTGTAATTCTGTACGATTCAAGATTTCTTTCGTTAATATCTGGAAATGTATACGAGTGGACACTTAATAACAACAATGCTCGTTAGTATCTTTGTATAGGTGGCTTGGAAAGTTCCTTTAGAAAGTGCGACACAATCCCAAATACAAGGGAACAAGGTAAATGCAGTGATAGCTAATATCATCCAGGGGCTTACACTAAGATTCTCGATGGGTTCATCATTCGATTCAGACTCCGACTCGGGTATCTCGTAAGGAGTGGTTTGCACTTCCGCGCTGGAGAATTGTAATAGCTCTTCCGTATTTGTCGCAGTTGTACATCGTTTAAGTGACGGCGTGCTTGTCATAATGTTGGCTATCTCCTTCTTTTTGCCATTGAAATCGGTTTCAAAATGTTGTGTATTCCACATTCCATCGTCTACACGAACAGAGAAGGAGGAAAGAGAGAACAAGCTAAATCAATTGTATGCATCTTGATTGATATTATCATACTCCTAAATAATAAGATTAAAGAATCGCTTTGAATCAGTCAGAAGAACGACGAAATTCAAACCTGTGTAACTTCGCAAAAAATACCTTTTTTGTTTTTCAAATATTATTAGATTTAATATTAAATAAAAATATTATTAGATTTAGATTATTATTAGATACGCTGCCGTTTACCACATCGTTGAAGATAAAGTTTCAGATTTTAGATAAAGTTTAAGATTTTAGAATAGATTTGCAGCTTCGAATTGCTTTTTCAGAATATTAGTCGACTTCATAATTCTTTGCAAAGTTGCATAACGCAGAATCTTTTTATTTCTCCAATTAATTTAAAGTAACACTTTAATTTTAACAGAATATACATATTTATATCATTACTTTTCTCAAAGTCATATTGACCAAGCGACTCATGCGCAATATTGTCGTCTCTTTTCTCAGTCCTGTTGCTAGATTCCGCCTGCTTAAACATATTAATATTCCCAGGCAGACTTTCCAACGGAGTTGTATCCACATTGTGAGAAATCGCTGTTAAATTGAGATACATGTATTTCAAGTTTTACAGTACAACGGTCGCAACGAACGCAAAGCGACAGAAAGGCGAACATACGTGAGGTCGTTAGGACATCAGGCTGTTGCGCTGTATTTGATTGGGATTTAACAGGGCGTTTGTTCCGTTCGCTGTTACTATGGCGCCTTCTACGCATGTTATTCGCAAGAATAGGTGAGCCATTTGATGCTTGCGAGTTATTCTATAAAGTAGCAAGATTTCACTTAATGTCAATTCACTTTCAATTGTAAATATCATATTGTTTTACAGGATCTCTCATACTTAACTCCCACATATATTGGCATAAAAAATGTTTGATACATCAGACATATTAAGGGTGGGTTGTCCTAGTGTATTAAGAATATCTTGAGAAAAAGCTAGAATAATAAAATACCTGAGAAGGTACATTTATGTTCACAACAAATCGCTGACCACGTGGTTCCTCCACAAGGAACTTTAGCTGCTCTATTAGATCCCCACAATGTTTTAACTGCTCACAGTCTGTGGCTTTGTTTAATCGCTCTTGAACTGTACAAAAACAGCACTTGTATAAGAAAGAGGAACTCTCACAAAATGAACATATGGATTCTACTGCTGAATTTATTCGTATATTATGTCAATCTTTTTGGATTTGATATAGCTGCTTTACCAGTAATATAATTATTAGTATTCTTAATAAACAAGTTGAATAAGATAACTCACTCATGGTGCTAATAGCAGAAAATTTTTCAATAACATCCATCAGTGTTAAACCATTAACTTTGGTACTGAATCGTTTTCCACAAGAAACTACTGTACGGCATTCTTGTAAATGCGGAGATGATTCCAAAAAAAGTTTAGCTGCTTCTGTACACTGCTGATCTTCCAGGTAACCTAGAAAAAACAAACACAACTGTACATATAACATTGGTAAAATTAAAAGTTAATTTGTTACATAATAACAATGATCTGCTATCAAGTAACAATATAAACAAGATAAAAAGCAAGCAGTTATTCCTGAAGAGTAGGGATAACAAAGAAGAGAGTTTATGAACCTTTTTTGAAGAGGTCCCAAAATTAATGAGTGATTAATGAGTTAGATTATGCTCACAAGATACTGAAAGATATTTTGTTGCAAATTGATCTTTGTATCGATCTTCGTATCGATCTTTGTATCAAGTTGATACGAGTAAACAGATTCAGTATCAACGAAAGAGGTTACGGCGGGGTAACGTTTTAGAATCAAAGATTAGAATAATTAAGTCAGGTTGCGCTTACCAAGAACTAGTCGAGCTATTTCAGATGGTAATAATGCTTCCATGGTTGTCTTCGAATGCCTTGTAACTTCGCGAAATATCTCATCAGGACACTCGACCACTGTTGTATAAAATGACGCCTCAACGACACCAAACTACTGCTTCTCGACAGCAACAAACATTTGTAGTGTTACCAACGTGCACAAAAAGTTTTTTTCACAAATCTTATTTTGATTATTTTGAAATAGACGTTTCGCGTCTATTACCTTAACACATTGACCATAACGGAACATTTTAGGACGTTATAAGGACGCTATTACTGGCTAATTAATCGTAGGTATTATTAAATATATCAGTCATTTTCTCGTTGCAGTTATATCGAATATTTGTATTATATGTTGTGGGAAATTATTTATGAAATTCTCGAAGAAAACGTGAAGACATCGATAACATACAACAATATGAGGATGATATCAAGAAGAATGCATAGTTTTTTAAACTCTTATTTCGCGGTTATATTTGAATCTCCCGCCAACCGTATTGCCGCCATTTTATTATCTAGAGATCTTTAAATATTTTAATATTCCTTAGTAGATGACCAATCATAGGATCGATTGTGTATTAATAAAATTGCAAGTGAGCAAATTCACTAGATGTTGATCAATAAAATTGTAAATCTTCTATTCGTTCATTTTTTTTATTTTCACTTGGTGATTTTTACCAAGTGTGTTAATATACAGTTGACCGTCAGGGTGGAGTCCCATGGCATGTATTTTCCACATACCGCGTAACCGCGTAACCAATAAATTGCGACGTATAGTATTTCTGTTGGAACTTCTAAAAGAATAGAAAGATGTGATTGGTTACGCGGTTACGCGAAAATATGTGTCATGGGACTCCACCCTAAGGCTGTCTTTGTCTGAGGTTAAGTATAAAGTGAGACAGCCTTACCATCAAACGAGCTGATTGGTTAAGTATAAAGTGAGACAGCCTTACCACCAAACCTATAAAAGCTCACTCCAGTACGTGTAGGGCTCACTGCTCCAAGCTAATTATTGAAGCATGAAATAAGAGATAAGGAGATCGAACTTGATAGGGCGCGAGTAGAGAAAGTGGTCCTGGAGCCCTATTCCATAACCACTTATCGACAATTGTCGGATCGGTAGTCGTGGTTGCGCAGCTTTTCTGTGATACAAAAAAGCTGCGCAACGACGTCTATCGATTCGACAATTGTCAGTAAGTAGTTACGGAATAGGGCCCCTGGAGCCCAATTCTTGACGGTGTGTGAAACGCATGCGAAAATCTACAGTGTACGTAACGTGAACTATACATTTTCGCATGCGTATCTCATTCGCATACCGTCAAGAATCGAGCCCCTGATTCGTGTCCCCCAATTGAGAGGAAATCCGTTGAAAAAAATAACTTCTTATGGTTGAGCGCCATTTGTAAAGCAATAAGTTAGGGCGAGATAAGATATACTTGTCTCACTCTTACTGCACCACTGAACTGGATCGTAATTGGTCAATTCTTACGTTACGTCTTACGATTACTGTTACGAAAAGTGTGTGTGGCCAGCTTAAAGCCCATTCTACAATTGCGTGAACGCGGTTGTAAGTGGTTGTATGTGATTACGACACCAATCAGAGTAAAGTAATCAGTGAATAAAACATTCGGATTGGTTGACTCTTACGATCACGACTATGCTTACTCAATTGTAGAATGGGCTTAATCGCCGTTAAGCCCATTCTACAATTGCGTAAGCGTAGTCGTGAACGTAAGAGTCAACCAATCCGAATGTTTTATTCACTGATTACTTTACTCTGATTGGTTGTCGTAATCACTTACAACTACTTACAACCACGAAATTGTACAGGCTTTACGTTAACACGCTTACGCTTTATGTTTGAACACATTTGGACCTGACTTTTTTGGAATTCGTATCTTGAATGAAAAGATAATAGACATAAGTCTGAGTCCAAGTAAAATAATAATAAGAAGAAAGAAGGAGAAAGAAGGAAGGAGGGAAGGAAGGAAGGAAGGAAGGACGGATTGACCTAACCTGGTATAGTTATTCAGAAACTGTTACTCGAGGTGTTTGGTTTTTTTGCTGAAATTCCTGTTGCAATTATAAAGAAGCACAAATGGTGAGTACAAATTAAACTGCTCTTACGTATGATTATGCAATATTTCTACAAATTTATTTGTTATATTTGTTTCCACGTGTAATATCAAAGTCGGAAGTAACATGTTATTTGTAACATCATTACTTTTTTCAATAACGATCATTATTTTTTTCTGTTTGTAATGGTAACGTCGTCATATTTTGTTTTACTTTTTCCAGAAGAAGCTATTTATCCTGTTTGAGCATGCTTCTGGGTATGCAGTATTCCGTATCAAAGAATTTGAGGAGATTGGAATGTTGTTGCCCCAAATAGAAGCTTCCGTCACAGATTTGTCACGTTTCCAAAGCATTGTGAGTCTTGTTGGCTTCTCAGCCTTCAAGACCGCAGTAGTTGCTCTGGAGAATATCAACTATATCTCGGAAGGAGTTGTTCCAACGCAGTTGCAGATTTTCCTAGATTCCTGCATACCAAGATCTACAGAGAAAAATATTGTTCTTGGTGTTGCTGATCCCAAGCTTGGTGCGAACATCACTGAAGCTCTGGGTATAAAGTGTGAACACATGAATGGTGTACCTGAAATCATTCGTGGCATTAGATTTCATTTTCATGACTTGGTGAAAGGCTTCACCTCCCAGAGTGCATTAGTTGCACAACTTGGTCTTGGGCACAGCTATTCCAGAGCCAAGGTTAAATTCAATATTCATCGAGTAGATAATATGATAATCCATACCATAGGCTTAATGGATCAATTAGACAAGGATATTAACACATTTAGTATGCGTATACGGTACGTATGGTATCTTTCTCATTTAATTGCTGTTGAACAAATTTTGTTTTGTATAAAACTTTATCAAGAATAATTTTCAATTTGTTTTTCTCTCAATCTAATTTCTAACAATTCTTAATTATATCAAAGTTTAGTCTAATAAGATTTATTTGGAAAAATATTACTTTTCTTTTGATAGCTTGAAATAAATAGAGCACTCAAAAATAACTCTCTCTTTGATTGGATTTCAGAGAATGGTACGGCTATCACTTTCCCGAACTCGTAAAAATAGTTTCGGAAAATTATATGTATGCAAAAGTGGCTCAAGTGATTCAAAATAGGAAAGAACTTACAGAAGAGAAGCTTGAAGCCCTTGAAGAAGTTGTTATGGACACAATCAAAGCACAGGCGATCATTGACGCTTCTAAGTCGTCCATGGGAATGGACATCAGTCTAATCGATCTCATGAATATCGAAATATTCGCCAAACGCGTTGTTTCGCTGGGCGATTATCGCGAGCGTCTGGCACAATATTTGCGAAGCAAAATGTCTGGAGTGGCGCCAAATCTTGCGTCTTTAATCGGCGATCAAACCGGCGCTAGATTGATCGCGCACGCTGGGTCACTCACCAATCTGGCGAAATTTCCAGCTTCGACTGTCCAGATTTTGGGCGCGGAGAAGGCGCTGTTCAGGGCATTGAAAACCAGAGGAAACACACCCAAATTTGGACTACTCTTTAATTCCACATTCATCGGCCGTGCCGGTGCCAAAGATAAGGGCAGGATATCGAGGTACTTGGCGAATAAATGTTCAATGGCTTCCAGGATTGATTGCTTCCTAGACGTTCCGACAAACGTGTTCGGTGAAAAGTTGAGACAGCAAGTGGAAGACCGGCTCAAGTTCTTCGAGACAGGAGAGATACCTAAGAAGAACATTGATGTTATGAAAGAAGCTTTGGAGGAATCATTGATCTCTGTAGAGCGAGAAAGTACAGTGTCTCCTAAGAAGAAAAATAAAGATAAAAAGAGAAAAGCCAACATACTACAGAACGGCCAGGAGAATGAGCACGTTAAGAATGGTCACGTTGAACAAATAGACACACCTGTACGAAAGAAAAAGAAAAAGTCAAAATCACTATCTAATGATTGAATAATGCCAACATCAATAATTAAATTATTATAATTATTAAATTATACCTTATAATTATAAATAAAATATAATAATTTTTGTTATATTCCGACTTGTCATTATCTTTTTATAGTAACGAAGATAATGTATGAATGTATACTATTTGTAATAAAGAATTTCTTTACGAAATAATCTTAGAGATTAGGCAGATTTCTTTCTTATTATCAAAGGTGAATGTCATGTGTAAGTTATTACTATTAGCAGGTTATATTTAAGAGAACTAATTATGCTGCTTTGGATAGCAATAATATTTTCACAGTTGCCTTGTAGTTTTGTGAGATTTTATTGAGAGTTTAGAAATTTAACTTTGATGTATTTGTCAAAAGAAAGTTTTTCTTAATTGTTTAGACACATTCAATATAATAGAATTGTGTTGTAGGGATGCTAGTATTATTCATGAATTAATTATACGTATCAGTCGTTTGTCTAATACTATATTGCACATTGTGGAAAATAATTAAAGAGGAATTGAAGGGATTTTTGAGGGAAAAACTTGGAAGGAGTAAAGAGATTTTTATTATATTGATGTATGCAGCATGTCCTGGCATTTATTATCTTATCTAATTATTAACTGATGATGATGCATGGAAAAATATCTACTGTTAATAAATTTTTAATTACAAATAAACGAGAAAAAACCAATTCTTTATTCATACTAATGTAAATTAATTTTTGTGTGAATATGCAAATATATTTTGTACAAACATTTAAACAACCAAGCTTGCTGATTAATATATTAAACTATAGAACTATAAAACACGAATAATGCTAATGTTCAAAAGTAAATTTCGTATGTTCTCTATGGCAAAGTGTTGTTAAAAGTAATCAGAATTGTGTGTATACATATGTAGATATGTGCTACAAGCATTCTTGCAGCTTTCATATTGCGCGGTTTTAGTAACTCAATGGGCGACTGTGATTGGTCGGTTAGCGCGCTGCTGTGGCGTTTTGATACGTCGATAGGTCCACTTGCATCATGGCCAGCGGACAGGCCGGTCGCGGCGCGGCGGCACACGCATTCGAAAAATATATTCTCTGGAAATCCCTGTCGACGAAGGTAAATCTCACGCCCAAACTATCGTCTGGTAACGCTAGAAACAAGTTCCGCACGTTTGTTACGGATAGATAGACCGCGAGATAGATAAATAGAGAGATAGATCGGATCGCGGCCGCGCGAGTGAATAGCTTGTTGGTACATCGAATAGAGCGTCGATAATGATTTGAAGTGTCGCGACTTTTCGCGTTCCCGGCTTGTTGAGAGTGATTCTCCGTACGCGGATTGTTGTCGCGTACGTCAAGAATAAGTTTCATGAAGCTGTGGCGAAGTATCAAGTAATCGGTGCAATGAATTTTCGCCAAACCGTTCGGAGTGTCGAGTGAAGTACGCGCGAACTCTTCGAGAATCTTAATCGTTGCAACGTTCAATTCGTACATTGAACGACCGCGACTTGCACGTATTTGCAAAACCGTTACTACGCCGCAACTTCGGTTCGTCGAGAGTGATTCCGCGCGTCGTTTCCAGAACGATCGAGTAAGTATCACGCGATCGTTATCGGGAATCATCGTGGAGCGATCCGTCAGAGCAAGGATTGCGCGATCGTTACGTTTGCTATTCGAAGTTCAAATCGCTATTACATATCGGACTCGTGTTGAGGATTATTGTCGAAAATGAATTTCGCGTGTTTTGCGTCGTAGATGTCGTTGGACAGCCGCCGGGACCACCTCGCCAGTATTGGGGATGCACAGGACTCGTACTCGTCATAACCTCTGAGCGACTCGTCGCAACCTACGTTCCCGAGAGGCCGGGAAATCTGGTGAGTTTCATTTCTGATTCTTGAATATCAGGTGTTAATTTCACGTAATTACCTGTAGATATCTCGTGCGACTTGTGATTTAGAAGAAAGAAAGATAGAGATAGATTGAGTTAGACAAAGACAAGGGAGGTGTATAGTTAGAGAGAGGATCTAATTTTGCGCAATAGCTAATGCGACCGCGAGTCATGGGGAAATTATATATACATAAAATACTTCTTAATAATAAATAAGTAAACTAATCTTTTTTTTTGACGATTCAGCGACTGTGTCGCAATGTCTATAATCCCCTCGTTCTTCTTATCCGCGGGATAAAGTGGCTCTGACACATTATTTCTGTTTTTCCAAACGTGTTAATTTTTCAATTATTTTTTGTCCCAAATCTCTTTTTCTATAATAAATTAATGCTACATTATAGATCACAGCACGTAAAAAAGTGGTCGCATTATTGATTGACCGGGCAGTAGAAAAATTTCCTGTTTTATATAAAGTCTTTGTTGTAAATTTCGTTATAGATTATTAATTATCGAGCTTTCATAACAAACACGCGAGATTAGGTGAGATTAGGTTAGAATCTATCGTAAAGCGCGCGCTTATATCATGGCAGTAAAAATCAAAATATTTCGACAATGCTTTGTTAACGCAATCGTCGCACGGTATTGTGAAATTCTGTAATTTTAAGGATGTAGGTAACTACTTGTGGCGTACATATTAACCGACAGAGTCGATAACGATAATACTGTCGATAATCATATATTGTCGGTAATCACTGTCGATAATCATATTGTCGATGATCGCGCGGTGGTGATTGACTGCGAGGTGTCGCTCAGAGATGGCAATGCGAAGCGTGCTGTCAATGTCGAGTTATTTCCGTGTTTTTCTGCACCTTCGTGCACGTTTCTTTTTGTGATTTCCTCGCGATCGATATCGAAAAGTGCTCCGTGAAAGTTCGATACTGTTTCTCTTTCTCTCTGTGCCAAATGTCCCGTGTCTCGATAACGCGTGTCGATGACGATCGTGTAAATGGAGAAGCGCGAGTGATATTAAAAGTTTCCTCGCGAACGGGCGAAGGATTTTTCACCGCGCGTGAAGTATTTTCTTTTTGTTTATTCGGCTCGAGGGGTTCCGTCGCGAATGCGATGCGATAATACGAGTCAAAATGTTGAAGCGTCTCTCCCTCTCGTCCAGGCGTCTGTCTCTCTCTGCATTTTTTTGTGCCACCCCCTACGTTGTCAGTGTACCTATTATTCTCCTTTCTTTTTCAGCGAAGACGGACGCGACGTATTTGTCGGCGAATACAGCGGCTCCTCCATCCACCGTTTCCACCTCTTGCTGCTACTGCTGTTCCTCCTCATCGCTTCTTTCTCGCAACGTGCCTCTGTCGAGTACATCCTTGCGCCCCTTGAAGCAAGGACCTCGTCGAGGGTGCCGGTCGCGGAGGTGAATACTCGTCTCTTTTTTTCTTCTTTCTATTTGCATCCACGTCGAGATACGTTTATGTATATCTCCGCATTAGTTACGCTCGTTGAAGGCTCTTTCTTAGGGAATCTTCATCCCGAACGCGCGCCGCATTAAGTAGTTTCGCGTTTTTCGTCGGAGATGTGCGTATTACGCATCGTCCTCTTCCATAAATCGTGCAATTCGTGCGACGATTTCTCTCTTTCTCTCTTTCTTTCTCTTTCCTTATAACTGTCGCAAATAAATCGACGTAACAACATGAAATAAAAATAATAAGCCATTAATTTGCTTATTATATTGTAATAATAAAAAGTAATAGACGTTAGAATAATAGACATTGTATATAAATAAACATTACATATAAATAAATAATAGGTATAT